GTAGTAGACGCGCTCTATTAGTGCTAGTCGACACTAGGGTAGTATATATTCGTCCTCTAAATCTAAGTCGGCGAACCTATTTAGCTACAGGTGGGCGTCATCATTTTCCTCGGGTGTCCCCTCGCGAGACAGTTCTAGTGCGGATCCGTAAGTCAGATTCTTGCATCGACAGTCCTATACGATGTCCTCCTACCTAGTAGGTCTTCGTGATCTCTAGCCGGGCCGGTCGTCTCGGGAGCCCCCCGCGCGATTCGTGTCGCCGGGCTTGGTAGACTAACACTATCTAAGGCGGTTCCAGCGGTGCAAAGTGCCGCACGATCGTATATGCCTATAAACGACATCGTCGATATATATTTAAGAGAGTCGCGAGGAGAGGTCGCATCTATACACGCCTAGAATTCGCTAAACCCTAATCGCCCCTGAGACGTGTGGGGCCTCGCCTTGTATTGCACGTTGGTTAGCTAGCACGGTATCCACCCTAACACTTTACATTCTCGCCTAGGAGGTATACCTAGGCCTCTAGCTAATGGAATTTCCAGTCGGGAAAACCATAACAAAAGATCACGCGTCCGTACCGTCCCAAGATGCCACGCCCTAGTCGGTCATCAGAGTATGCTAGTCAGCGCGAGGCCACTCGAGCCCGTATGGCTCGGCTCCGTGCGCGACGGCGGCTCGCTCCAGCTCCAGCTGAGACCCCCGGTATATTTCATAACCTATTCCTCAACTTATAAAAGCGGGGTAGATATTTAACTAAGTAGGTAAGATAATTCTTAGATGAGTAGAAATAGCACCTGAGAGTTGCTCCCGGGCTCATAATCTGTTGTAGTTCAGAGGTATGAATTGTCTTATTTATTCAGAGAGAAACACGAGGGCTATATATACAACTAGAAGATCAAGTTGATTGCAAATCAACTTGGTTCTTCGAATATATACTTCGGTATTAATTCCGATGGTTCGGCTTGGTTCCTGATCTGCACCAGCCTCATATCACAACACCGTCCACTTCGCTGCCTCTGTGACAGATGGACAACAGCCTCAGTCTTGCCCACTTGGCCCCATGGTTGCATTCGTTGGCAAGGAATCAGAGAGCCTATTCTCTGTCGTAGCTTTACGGCTCCGTATGTTCAAAAGATGTTGACAGGGGTGGGTGCTGTTGGAAGAATTACATAAATTACGGTAACATGTTACGCCTCAGGAATTATGCCCGATTTACCCTCTCCAGATCGATGTGCCTGGACCCGCCTGCAATCATGTGCGGGCCGAAAGTGGGGCTTCATGACAAATTGTGCAAATGGGCTGCCGTTCATGAGAGTATATTAGAGCGTCCCAAGATAAACAAGGGAAGGAGGTTGGCTTCATTTCCAAGAGCGGTAGCCAACCAAACTCAACTTAAATTGTTGGTGACGTAACAAAGCGTGCCCGCTTGATGGGCTCTCAAAAGACTGCGTCCGTCGTCGAGCTTTTGGGAAGTCATGTCAGTCTCCACAAGAAACTAAAGCCAACGGGAGGTGAGTCCGCGTCTTTCTCAAGTGCAATAGGCCTAACGACGATCTGATATCACATTATACAGAGCTTACCCTTTCAGCGTTGCTGCGCCCATCCTGGAATTCCTTTCCTCAGCACGGTCTTTGTGACAGACAAACCTCAGGATTTGGACGGTTCACCGCACCATTGCAACTTGCAGTCGTAAGGCCATGAAGTACACGCGAAGTTTTGGGCAGCCTGCGGGCTATACCGAGTCTGAATCTCGCCGAGCATCACCTGCGGTGTCTTTGCGAGGTTTAAGAAAGGAAAAAAATACGACTTTTACGACAGCTCAAGCAAATTCGCGTAGAAGTCGGGATTTCAGAAGCAGAATACAGGGGCTTATGTTCCCAGGCTATCCAAGTCATGACTCTCGGTACTTTGCTTGTTTCTCAGAGGAAGAGGTCTATCACGTTGTTTGATGGCTTCTCGTGAGATGTTCGCACCATGCTGGCATGATAGGTAAGGTGGACCCCACTCAAAGAGCTACAATTCCAGCCTTAGGTGGGCAGTCCACTGTTGCATCAGGGATAGTGACAGCCACTACATGTGTCATGACCGTTTCGGCCCTCATGGATTGGAAAAAACATACAAGGCTAGCCAGCCAAGCCAAAAAGAGTGTGTCCCTAGTAACTCCCAACCAATGTGAAAATTACGTCGCGATTGTAACGGGAGATCCCGGTCAACTTGGATTACTAGCATGGCTAAATTTCCCTTTGTTCAGGGCGTGCAAAATGGTGTAGAGATCTTGGCAGAATGATAAACGTTTTGTAGTCCGTGTGGCGATCTCTTCAAAGCTAGTAGATAAATTACCCATTTTCGCCCCTAGGGCAGCTCTCTGGCGAGATTTTCATACAGGGACACCCCTTTGCGGAACAAGGGAGATGCCCGTAGCTTAGAACAAAGTTCTCTCATGATCGCTTGGTGAGGGTCCGCATGCAATGCCCGAAGAGAGACGCTTCCACCTGGGGTTGTTGTCACAGATACGCTCATAGAGATCAGCGCTAGAATCCCCTTCTCCGAGAAAGGCACCCCCGGCATATCCGAGGCCATCCTTCGGTTCGACACCACATTGAAGCCTTGTGCTGATATTTGTTCAATTTGAAGCAATAATTGACCAAGCATCTCACGGAGATCTGGACCCGTGACTGTTGAGTCAATCAAATTCTGTTGTATCATGTATTGGCGAATCTTCGTCCAGGCTCGATCGGTCCGCCAGCTTGTTTCGCTCCAGTCGTTGCGTATCATATCGGGGCATGATTCCTCGCCGATATGCGGATTCTAGTCCTCTTCTTTACGAGCAAGAAGATCCTTGATCTGTCCCATGTTGCCAATACTGGCCAGTAAAGAGGACTCAAGGTGGACATATGATAGGATAAGAAGTATTTGTTTGAACGACAACCGGCCATAAATCAACGAGGCAGGGCTAGCTGCTGTTCCTGAAAACATTCTGCTTTGCCGAAAGCCTGGAGTGCTTGTAGTTTTTTCTTCGAGAAAGAGCGGGAATGGTCTTTTATGATTCTTATGTGCAGCACAAGAGGGGCCTTTAGTTCCTCTAGTCGTTGCTGTTACATATTCTTGGGATTCTGCGATACAGGAGGCTCCCTAGGCTCCCTTTAGTCGGGCAACCTGCATATATGGGGTGGTAATCGGCAGTGATTATGCACGAATCTCGATTTAGTTATATTGCTCTGCTTTCGATCTTTACACAACCCTAATAAAACTTAAGAGTTCAAGTGGTGTTCCGTATGTGGGCAGAACATAACCACCATAGGCAAGAAGTGAGATTTCCATAGTGTAGTATCCAGGACAAGATGCATTTTCCTGATACCATGGGCGTAAATGTTCAATAATAGCGTCCTCAAGGCTTTGCTGTTCAGGTTGTAGTGGCAAAAGTCGGGTACTTTGCCTAGAGACTCTTACGCGCCGGTGCAGTTGGCTCACTAGTCGCGTGAAATGTCCCCAAGGGCTGTTGGCAAAGTTTGCGCCCGTCAACTGACTTTGCAATTCGCTGAGAATCCTACTTTCCATGTGCAACCTCATTCCGATGAATCCACACTCAGACATCATGACCACATAAATCTCGGCCAAGGCGTATTCGTTTCCGTCATTTTCGCCTCGACGGTAGAAATTTCTACAACGTGAACTCAAGTAACCGTCTATAGGAATGTAGCCAGTGCCATATGGCGTTTGCTTCACAATTATAACAACATCTAGGGTAGTCTGATCAGAATTGGTTACAAAAGCTGCTGGTCTTCACTTACTCTGATTGACGGGACAGATGGGAGTCATGTACTGCGAAACTTCTGCAAAAGCTGCTGGATAGGTCAGCGGCGATTGGTAAATCCGAAAGTTTAGACTTACGATCAGGTGGCACCATTCTAGGGTAGCAGTATGCCGAAGATGGAATGACAGGGCTGAGCTGTGGCACAGCGGTGAATTGCATCTCGGCTCAAAGTAGTGGAAGATCTAAACTCAAGAATGGAATACTCGAAAGTGTAGGATTTGCGGTGATAGAGCTGCGACTACGGGCCGGGCATGTCTCTTAAGTAGAAAACGTAGGAAATTTTTGAAGGGTCAGATCTAGAAAAAAGTGCATTGGTTGATCTCGGGTCGATTCCTAGGCCAAGGCCACCATGCCTCTGTTCGCCTTGCTCTCCCTTGCTTTGCACTCGAGACACTACCGTGTGGTTTGGACACCATCGGAGGGGTGGGATTATAAACATCTTTCTTTAATTCTGACGGCGTGAAGCTAGGCTCCTTATGATGCTGTCGTTTAGCCACGGGGGGTGGAGTCCGTGGTAGACTGATAATATCACTGCTGACTGTCGAAGGTCGGCTTGGTTCGGTGATATCACTGCTGGCTGTCGAAGGTCGGCTTGGTTCGGTGTGCGGAATGTCAGTTTCATTATCTGTACAAAAGTATCATGAGTATGCGTTCCACAAGGACCCAGCATTCACCAGGCACTCACCTGAATCCTGCTCCATAGACCAGCAGTTTTTGATGCTACTTGGGAATCCCAAGTGAACGCCAATCCATTCCCGCAGCCGAGATGGGACAGCCATTGTTGGGTACTGTTTTGTAGTATTGTAGACTCTGAAGGGGAGCACTTAGATACTAAACAAGCGCTAGCTCGTATTTATATTGACTGCGGATCATTACTTGCCTCATAATGAATACAGTATCCAGTATTGCTTTTTCCCATACGCATACTAGCACCTGTGTCAAACGTACGTATCGTGCAGCAACATCCACAGTATAAGGTTTACTAATTCTGGCTCGCATTTTACGAGGTAATCATGAAGACGGGTGACAAGGAACCGCATTTACATTTATTGGATTGGCTAAGAAGACTGAATGTTGAAACGCTCCACGTTGTTGAAAAGCTCCTAGAGCCAGGTTCGCTTATTTAGTGTTTGCATCACCAAGCATCCAGGTACTCTGACGGGAGAAAAAGGTATAAAAGCCAAAAATGCTATTTCTTGTTCTCCAATTCCAACGCGAGTCGATACAGTCTAGCGTTCCCTGCCATGATATTCATACCTACAACGTGACCTTCTCCAGTTGATCCACCCAATATTCGGATCTTCTTGATAGCATAATCCTCTTTGTCTACGAAGATCATCGGTAGGTCACATTTCGCGACGTCGTCACACACCCCGCGCACAATTTTTATCACAACATCTCTGGCCAGAGTCTGGCCAATCCCCCATTTTGCTGCAAATTTTGGAAGTATGATTGCCAACATTGTGGTGCTCCGTTCATCTGCGCTCTCTGCTGCTGCAAGTGCAGCATTACACCAGTCTTGCTGGCTTTTGATATGGTCCATGACCCAGGTCGCCGCTTCAGTGCAGTTGTGTGTTGCGATATACGTCAAGAACCCTTCGGGCGGCTTGGAACCACTACTCAAAAGCCAACTGAACATCGGCTCTGGATCTCTTCGGGTTGCTACACTCTGCCAGCCAGGCGCTGCGTCCTCAGGAAGAGATTTTCCTAGGTCTAAGCCTGATTTCCGTAGCTTCTCCGCAAAATTCGGTTCGACAAATCGACATATATGCCATATCTCGACTGGCCCAAGTGACGAAATAGCATTGATGGGTGATGATTCCAGCCTTTCCCAGCAGATATTGAACCATGCCTGATGCCAAGTAGCGGCTTGAAATATGAGAAGCGGAAGCGCTGGTACCATCAATGGAGGACGGCTCATTACGTTCCGTCCGAAGCCAGAAGCAAATAGCCGGCCCGAATAAAGACCAACACACGTGACTCGGTCCGATTCTAAATTTCGGTCGCTTCCACTGCGTTTTGCCTGTTGAACCTCGACATAGCTCGCCACTGGATCTACTAACGACTGTGAAGATCGAGCTATACAGTGCACGAAGATCTACTGGCTCTTCGGGATTCTACCCGAAAACCCCCCTATCTCAAAGGTAGACAAGGTCTACTATTTACACATTGTTAAAGCTTAACTTTTTCCATCCAGTTCTCGCTACGAGTAATGAGTGGACTATTGGTGAAACTTTGGCCTTCACTTAAGCCAGCGTGCGATGCAGACTTCGGTCTGCTTTTGCAGAAGGTAAAATAATCAACTGTTATATAATAACATGGTAAATATTTGTTTTTGAGAGGTCATCGAAGTTCAAATACTAACAAAGAAGCATCAAAGAAAAGTATATAATCTTGGGACTTTGACAAAGAAGTTGCGGTTCATTTCTCCGGGCCTTTCACGGATACACCCCTCCTTGCAAATTCGGTACAAACAAAAGTAACGAGGCGATTGTAACTTGTAAGTACTGGAAATTGCCACAAGTTTTTTTTACCAGGAGTACAGTATAGTTTCTATCTATAGATCAGCATGCATTTCCGCTCGACTTTTCTGATGGGGCGATATCCTTGTTGATCATGAGGGAAAGATTGTACACATTTTGGCATAATCACCACGAGAAGAGCCACTCACCCAACTAGTTAGTTCTATCAATCAAGGTGCATTCCAAATATAGTGCCCAGTGATCGATTTCCAAAAAGATCTACAATTTTCTGGCGTTCTGTCTTCGCATTTAACAGTTTTCGAAAGTTCTAGTGTCAACAATAGTGCGCAAATATTGATATGCTATGTCAATGGTATTGATGGGGATTAAAAGGGAATTTATTTCAATTACGAGCAGAAACTTTGAAAAAACCAGAATAATTCGTGACCCAGGGAAATTTCTGCGTCCATTTCATTGCTTATGAAGAGGAAAATCAGACTGCTCGAGATTTTTCCAGTCAGCGCTTCCTATGAGAATGCATGTTGTTAAGTGAGGTTTTTCCAGCATCTAATATCTGGATCCTCTCTACAAGCTTCTGTCAAAAGAATACGCGACGTTGTCTGCGGTCGCTATTTGGAGGAATAGAAGAAAACGTCCCTTCATAGCTCGTATAAGGGCAGAATGGCTTTCAAAAATCTTGTTGCCATTGTATGTATATGCAAATTAATTGTTATCGAGTAATTTACAAATGTCGTAGTCTAGATTTCACGAGCATGAACATCATTGTCTGACAAAGATGATGGAAGTTGGCGCGTTTAGCTCGCTGAGACAGAGACAGAGAGAAAGAGCTGGCTCGGTAACCTTCGAGCCTGTATTGCCTTTAAACCCGAGCTTGGAATGCATAAAGTGCTATTCCTGACTCGCTTTTGGAGCTTGTGGAAAGTGGAGGCTATCATGGTTCTGATCCTTAGGAGCCAGCAAATGCAAGCAAGATCTCACAACCTTTCGGAGAATATTTGTCAGAAAAGGGTACTGTTCAAGAACTTGAGACTGGATAATCGACTCGCTCAAAGCCGCAACGTTTTCGCTTATCCCCTCTAGCAAAATCTCAAGCTGAGTGATGCGGCCTTTGAACGCTGCAGCTGTCACCTCCGTGCGAGCTCGGTATGCTCTTTGTACTCGATGTACCTGCTGGGGTTTCCGCTGGCTTCTGCGAGATCTTTGACCTCTCTTTCGGTCGAAAATGTCTTTATCAGAAGCTCTATCCATACTTCGCCGTTTTCTGAGATTTTGTGTTGCATAAATCCTTCGGATTCAGGCGTTCGTCGAGTTCGCTTTGAAGATGTGGGTGCTACTCTCACGTAAGCGATAGTGGAAGCAAGGTCGAAATTCACCTTACAATACAGGGACTGTGCTATATGATGAGAAATGCAGAGCCTTAGGAAAAAGACCTTCTTTTGGAATGGAGCTCGAAAGTCACTGTCAAAGGAAGCGATTGTTTTAAGTTTTTGCAGATTCTAGGTTTCCCGACGGTCACTAATCACTCAATTACACTTCCGATATAATTCTAATCTATCTTTTGCTTTCAGCAAGATGTTTAATGTCTAGGATGATAGTTGACAGAGATAATGAGCCAAGGGCAATTTTGAAGACCACAGATTTTGCGAATAGCAATCTATCTCTAAAACGGATAATAGACTATAAACAAGAAAGAGGACGCCCTACAGAAAGATCAACAAACACATTATACGCTTTCTTGAATAACAAGTCTTTTGGATGTCGCGTAATCAGATAATCCAGCAAGCCTCGGCTTTCACTACTTTGGTATTTCGTATCACGCAAGGAAATCTTAGACCCTTAATGCCAGGATCCAAACTTCCGAAGATTCTTCCGACGCATACTACGGTTCGCAGCAAGAATTCGGCCCGGTCGGACTCAAAACCTGCACGTGACTCGGGCCGACTTTTTTCATACCGCAACAGTGCGGACAAAATGCATCCGAGAGGTTATCTTTCCATCTCAGACCATTTCGTCAATCTCTTTAAAACCTCGGCCCTCGGAATAAACGCGAATATACGTATCATTCATCATTCATAGATAGACCTCCACACCTCGGCTACGTCCCGCAATGCACCATATTCGGTGTTTGCTGATGGTGGTAATAGTGGCGATGGAGATAATGAGGGGTCGATCGGATTAGGATTTAAGTAATTTAAGTTACGAAACTCTCACCTGTTTCAAGCCAATCTCTCATTAATCCTCTCGCCATCCTCGCACTTGTACCACTTGTACAGGCATCAACTTTCAAAGTAACCTCGCCATGGTCCAATATCAACCAATCATCACCTCGCCGGATGACTACAAAACGGCACATAAACGGCGTATCATCTATCTACGTCCGTTTCTCCTTTTCTGGCTAAGCTGTCTTTTCATCGAAATCATCTTCCTCGCTGTCGGTGTATTCATCATGACCGGCACTCGTGACATTTTCAATAAGGTCATGTGGACACTCGTGTTCTGCCCACTAGGGATGGGTGGAACCTTGGGCGGTCTCATCAACTCCTTCATTGTCGATCACCACTACGGGAAAAAAGCCGCCCATTTCACGGCAATCTTGACTTTATTGGTTCTCAGCACATGCAATTACCTCTGCTACAGTCTGGACCGACATTTTGGATGGTTTGGAGCCTCCGAGCATCCCATGTGGTTTCACTGGCGGTACCCCGCGCTTTGGGTGATCGGTTATGTGAATGGCCTTCTGTTATTCACAGATAAGGGGCAGGAAAAACTTGCTAGGATAAATTTCTAGATCATTCAACCTGGTTTCGCAGTCGGGATTCTGCACATTTGGTATCTATTGCGTACTTGGCGATGTGTTGTTCACAGATCACTTGCGGAAAAGAATGGCAATGAATATTGAATGACCAGACTTTCACAACCCTCTCTAGTCAGCAGAGAAGGAACGGGAGGAGCTAGCTGGAATGTCGATTTTAGCCCTCCAATTTACGGTAGAGGATGTTCTAAACCATGTTATGAATGCCCAGTTTCGGAACATGAAAGGCGGAGGGTCACATTTACTGGTAGTTAGAACTGCTATGAAACAGACAACACTATCCAATACAAAGAATCATTCAGAGCTTGACCTTATATGGCGAGCAGGGATATATGTGCCATCTACAGAAATAAGCCGCGCGCCCGGCATCAATTCTCTCATTCTGAATTGTTTTACCTCGGTTAGATAGATGAATACTAATCAAGGCTTGCGGCATATGCTTCAGAAAGTAAATATTTCAGGAGCTATATATACCCCCTCAAGAGCCTTGCGTTTTCCAATATGAATTTGAGCACAATACACTTCGCAGTTATGAATCACAAGTTAGTTTTTTTAGAAAAGATAGACGCCTGGCTCGGCTGGATCTCTGTCGGTAAGTCACTCGGTTGGTGTGTTTGCATGTTTTTTGAGATTTATATGACTTATTCAAGCCGCGTCATAAGCTGCAACAATCGTATATGCTGCTATACTGGGTCCATTTCGTGGTCCATCGGGGGCCGATACTTACTATCATCATGTGATACAAGCCACAGTCAAAAAGGTATTTTGCCCTACCTGGAACAGACATTCCTCCGAAGTAGAAGCTAAATTAACCCGAGTGTACAGCTGACTAGCAGATTCAGCCCGCTACAGCTCCAGTCCGTGCCAGCTTCAACAACTAACCCCTTAACTGATGCTGACGAAGGAAGTCAGATACATGTTTAAGTCCTATGATAATCTTTATCTGGAGTTCTGTGACAAAATGGAAGTCAAACCCCATTTTGTTTCGAATGATCACGGATTGACAGGATTCTGGGTCGGCTCGTCAGCTGCAAAATATATTGTGATAAACTTCCACGGTAAGAATTATAATCGAACTCCAAATAATGATACCCGTGGACTAAGGCTGTAGCAGGTGGCGGATTTGCCATGGATGCAACTGAACCGTATTTCGAGTTCTGGCCTGGAGTTGCTCGAGCACTTTCTGACGAGAATATCAACACCGGCTGGTTCAATGTAACTTATACATTAACACCCCATGCTACCTATCCAACACAATTTTGCCAGGCAGTCGAAGCCCTACGATATGTTATTGAGGACCTCGGACGATCACCATCGGAGATCATTCTTGCTGGCGATTCCGCGGGAGCGAATTTATGCCTTGCACTTCTGTCACACCTATCCCATCCGTCCGAGGATGCGCCAGCACTCGAAGTTGCTGGCCCGCTCAAGGCTATTGTTCTTCTATCACCTTGGATCTCCTTCCGCCGGGATTGGCCGACAATGAAACACAATGAGCACAGAGATATTGATGACCAGGACGTTCTCGAACGCTGGAAAATGGAATATCTACATGGAAGGTCTACTAACTACTACGTCGAAGCGGCCGAGGCGCCCGAATCCTGGTGGCAAGATGCCCAAGTCGAACATTCTCTTGTTCTTGCAGGTGGGGATGAGATGCTTTTAGACTCCATCAAAGTATGGTTCGAAAAGTTTCAAGTGAGTTACAGGAGATTTCCATCCAGAGGGCTTTACTGGATACGCTGACAACCTGTAGAAGGGAAACTTGGAAACGACATTCATTGTCGGTCAAAACGAATGTCACATCGCGCCTCTAATTTGGCCTTTATTTGCCGACAGACGCGAAACCTACCAGGGCCGTGCTATGAAGTCATGGCTAGTTGATCGGTTACGCCTATAGCTTTGCAGGTTAAATTGCTTTCGGCAGTAGAGGCGAGGAATTACTTTCAATGTTTGGGTTGCCATAGTCTGACTGGTGAGAGCTATGCGGGTGAACAGGTATGGACTGCATTCAAACCAAAGTGCTACCAATGGAACGGTTTATGTGCCTCGCATGATACTCCAGCTCTCAGTCCAATCATTCTGGTGTACCGCAGGGTCGCTCTAACACCCTGGCCAATATCGCTCATTGTGTGTAGTGATAGGGGAAGCTCGTGATTCTCCCCTTTGGGCCCTTCTCATTGGATATTGTCCCAGCGGCAACGATTTCAGTCATCTGAACTAAAAACAGAATATGAACGCTATCTGAATATCGGTGGCCCTCTAGCCCTGAGATACTCCAAGAAAAGATGTCTCCCTGAACAAGTGACATAAATATTGGACCTTTTTAGACCATATGAAGTCTTTCAATCTTCGTTCACCATTTCTGCACCTCAGTTTTCATAATTATCATTTCTCAAATTGCAAGAATTTTTACGGCCTAGGGGAAATATCCTGAATGAAGAACAAGTCGGCCCTCTTTCTTTCAGGTACCACACAACTCGATGACCCTCTTCCATTTTCTAACCACATATACGGGCCTTTAAAGTATAATATTTCCTTCATTTTTTCTTGTTAGTTCCCTGAACGCGTGCTGTTGCCTCTTCTATTTAGACCTCTCTATATTTTCAAGCTCCACGATCTACAGATTTATCGTGGATTTTAGTGCTTTCAGAACACCTTTCACCCTCGATATACTTGCAAATGAGGACTGGTGCAGTAGTGACGACATGATCCCGAACCTTAGGATCGAAGGCGGCACTGGGATTCAAAAAAGCGGTTGATTGGCCCCTCGTACAGCGATGATATGAACATCGTCCGCGACTCTCAAAGCCTCACAGCTCGGCCCGAATGATAGGAACGGTCGGCACGTGAGTCGGTCCGCTCAGGCTTTAAAGCGGAAGTTGCCACTCAGGGGTTGGCTTTTCTTTTTATAATTGCACCGGAGCTCTGACAAAACTTTTGAAAGTGAATTGTTGCCGGGAAACGGCGATTGTTCACTAACAGGGCTTTCGACTCTTTGACACTTCAACCTTCCAATATTTCTGTTGCAAGAGAAGAGGGTATTTAATAGCTACTGGATATGGCCTGCGTGAAATTCAACTCACACTGCTTTGGGTCAGCTACTCTGGCTAGAGTATAATGGGACGAGTAGCTGGGATCCAGCGTCTAATAAATAGTCAAATACGATGCTATGCGAAACCTTCCAGGAATGTTTGTTGTGATATGAGGCTGGTGCAGATCAGGAACCAAGCCGAACCATCGGAATTAATACCGAAGTATATATTCGAAGAACCAAGTTGATTTGCAATCAACTTGATCTTCTAGTTGTATATATAGCCCTCGTGTTTCTCTCTGAATAAATAAGACAATTCATACCTCTGAACTACAATAGGTTATGAGCCCGGGAGCAACTCTTAGGTGCTATTTCTACTCATCTGAGAATCATCTTACCTACTTAGTTAAATATCTACCCCGCTTTTACAAGCCAACACAATATCTGCTCTAATCCACGACTCGCCCGACCGAGCCGTCACGGCTATTGAGCTTTTGACAGGAAGCGACAACTTCGTAACCTAGAAACGTCTTATGACTTCCTACCTCAAGGCGAGGCAGGTCTAGGATATTGTGTCGGGCGACCTTAAGCGTCCCGACTGCTTATTTAAGTACGTTAAATCTATTACAGCGAATATCTACCCCTTAGTGGAACCGCACTTAGTTAGGGCGGTGAGGTAGCGCGCTATTGAAGCGCGTCTCGAAGTAGAGGTCTAGGCGTTCGAGCGCTACCGTAAATAGTCGCGCCGCGAAGCCGAAGCCTACTATACGATCTTCCGGTACCTATCCCCGCATATTAGTATCTATGTCGCGGGTCTAGAGACGTCTCGGGACCTCTAGAATAAACTCGAAGAACGGTACCGGCGGATAGAGCTCGCTATATTTTGCGAGCTATTCGCCTAGCTTCGCGAAACCACTAGCGAGCGCTATAGTAGCGCGCGCGAATTTGTCGATCGAGTACAGTTACTCGTGTATCGATTAAATACTATCGTACCTAGATCTATTAGCGACCGAACGTATATTGCGATCTTACTAACGCAAATCGGACCGGAATATATTCTAGTTGTGGATGCTATTTAGAATAACAAGGATCCGGTGAATCCGATCACGATCGGAAATCGTCTGTCGAATGCTAAGTAGACGATTCGGAGAAAAGAGGCTCTAACACCCTTGTAGGCAACGTCTAGCCCGTCCGTTAATACAGTGTAGTAGACTACTAAGAAATACAACTATTGTAAGAAGCGCGGCTATATAGTCGCGCAGTGCTAGAAAAAACAGCGAGAAGGATAGTCGTCTAGGGACTATACCCCGAAGACTAAACAGAGTGTTTCCGGCTCACTAAGAAATAATTTACAAATAATACTATTAAGCTAGGTGGAAGGTCGGTAGGGCCCGCCGACTTCTAAGAGACCGAGGATCAATATCGTAAGGGCGAGGGTGACGACCTTTTATATCTATATACTATAACCCCGGTGGATCCTAGACTCGGCCGCCACTAGCTATATCTACTAGGATCGGAGCTACTTTAGTAGTCTACAGCCCTACTACGAGATACTAGACACAGCGAGCGATCTAGTGGAAGCCGAAGGGATTAGTACGGTAAAGCTCACGCTCCGGGGGAAGTTCAACTAACCCTTAGTGCTAAAGAATATATACTTTGCGCCACGCGTTAGGATAAACCTAATTAGCGTGCTAAAGCTATTGCGAGACCGCTATTCGATAGTAGCGTATCTATAGAATATTTTTGTGTAACGCTAAAGACGAACCGTAGGGACTACGTACCACGCGGAGGAGGATCTACTAATCCTACAGTGCTATATAAGCAAGAGATCTCGCAAGCGAGTCTAACTAGCGAGGGCGCCGGCGACCTATAACTATATAGATTCCCTAGAACCGCAGGCGGTAGCTATAGATATCGACGACCCTTAGGAGTTAAGTGACGTATAATATATAGCGTTAACCTCTAAACTCGGCGGTGAAGCTATAATACTCGAAGTAGATATAGGTATAGGAGGGGACTAGGCCTCCGAAGCGTTATAGCACGCTCGGATAGGATATCTAAACTAGGGCGACTTGAGGGTGGTCCTCCGGTAGACCGGCACTCCGTACCAACCGCTAATATAGGCGTAGCTACTAGCAACGCCGCAGTGCTCGGCGTATATATCGGGTAAGCAACATCAAAAAAGGAACTCCCGCGCAAGACAGCCACGTCTATATTCAACGAGAATTTTTGAATTAATCTATTCGGACCTCATAGAGATACCGATTGCTAAAAATAGCTCTAGGTACGTGATCACCTTTACTAACGATTATTCTCGTGGCTCGTGGGCCTATGCTATAAGATAGAAGTATAAAGCGCTCCAAAAATTCCGACAGTTTAAAGCCTAGGTGCGCCGATAGTTCGGCGCCTAGATCAAAAGATTTCTCACTGATAACGGGAGAGAATATCTATCAATTAGAATATATCTCGAATCCTAGGGAGTTGAGTTCGACACATCGCCGCTATACTATAAAGGGCAGAATAGGCTAGCGGAACGCACTAATCGTACTATCCGGGAGCGGATCAATACGCTCCTATCCGATACGAATCTTTCTCCTTTCTAGTAGGTCGAGCTTTTAGATATAGTGGTCTATCTAAAGCTACGTACGCTAGTATCGATCTTACAGAAGAAGACTCCGTATAAACTAATTCACGGGAAGCGTCCCTCGCTATTATATCTACGACGGATTGGCTCTCGTGTATAGGTCTTAATCCTAAAAAAATATCGAGCAAAACTCGGACTGCGATTATCTAAGTGCCGACTGCTAGGCTACTATGAACCGAACTAGTACAAGCTCTATAAAATATATTCCGGAAAGACCGTCTTTTCCCGTGATATCGAGTTCGATAAGAGGACCCCGATAGCGCTATTTATCGAGAGGGAAATAGGCAACGACCTCCTAGACAATGCTCCTCTATCACTAGTCTTTCTATTAATACCAAGTTCGATCAGCGGGCTACTAACACTATCTATATCGCCTTTAGCTCTATCGAATAAGCAAGAGCAAACGCTATCTAAGCGTAAAAACGAGATACCTCTAGTGCTCAATCTAAGCTAACAAGGAACCGACTTGACTTCGGACCTTAGGTATTCGATCTATAGTCGTAGACGAAGACCGTCACAGCGTCTCCTAGAGTCACTAGGTAAGATATACACAGTAGGCGCATTAAATACCGCACTAGTAAGATACGTCGACCCGGCGACTTTCTATAAGGCCGTATTAGGCCTAAACTAGCTAGAATAGTAGGCCGCTATCTAGAAAGAATATACGTCGCTTCTCGAATATAGAATATAGGAAAAGTTTCGGCGAGAGGACATCCTAGCCGGAGATTATATAATTAGCTATAAATAGGTCTTTAAGACTAAAGCCAATAGAACGCGCAAAACGCGGTTAGTCATCAAAGGCTATCGGCAGAAACATAGCATCGACTATCACGAAATATTTGCTACTGTGTCCCGGATAGACTCGGTCCGTTATATTGTCGCTAGCGCCGTATTGCGCGGATAGGAACTCTACTAATTCGACGCGGTCACCGTATTTTTATATAGTGACGTCGACTCGTCGATCTATATAGAGTTACCCGAGGGCTTCGAGGAACTAGGATACGTATATTGGCTACGCCGTTTACTATATAGGCTAAAATAGACCCCGCGGATTTAGTACTAATACGTTCACCGCGTCCTGACTTCCTATAGCTTTACTATAGCCTAATCGGACAACTATATATTCTTTAAACCAAATTGCGTCGTCTATGTTTATATCGATAACTTCCTTATTGCGGCGGCAAATACGCACGAGATCAAACAAGTGCAATAAGCACTACAAACAGAGTTCTAACTAAATAATCTAGGCGCCCTACGTTTGTTCCTCGGGATCTAGTTCGACTATTATATCGATAGGTCTATATCTATTCACTAACACTAGTATATCTAGAAGGTGCTCTCCGACTTTGGCATAGAGACTTGTTAGCCGAAATCTACGCCGATAAATCCTAAGTATATCCTAAATCATCGTCTAGACGAGAAACCTCCGGACGAGGAAGCAAAAGCTCGTTATGCGACTACTATTAGTTCGTTGATATATCTAATAGTTAGCATGCGACCGGATATTACGTTTGCGCTAGGCACGTTGAGTCGCTTTATATCTTAGCCGCAATCGCACCACTAAATCGCTCTATCGCGATTGCTCCGCTATATCAAAGCCACACAATCTTATCGGATCACCTTCCGTAGTGGATAGCTAATCGGATACACAGACGCTAACTTTAGGGGCTCTATCGTTACTAACGGTGTATACTCCACGTCTAGCTATATATTCTAGCTTATAAGTGCGCTAGTTTCCTAGTCGTCTAAGAGATAGGGGGAAGTAGCCACGTCTACAACCTATACCGAATATATTAGATAGTATAATACTATTCTATATCTCTAATAGCTTCGCACCTTTCTAGCCGAAATATAGTTGTATCGGTCTTTAGTCACTAATATCTTGGCTAACAACTAGTCCGCTATCGCGCTATCTCGCAATCCCGAGTTCCACAAACGGACGAAGCATTTTAATGTAAAATTTCACTATCAGCGAGCTATGTTGAATACCGGCGAGATTAGGCTCTAATATATTCCAACTGAGGAACAGGCCGCAGATAGTCTTACTAAGCCATTAGGGCCTACGTCCTTTGCCAAGTTTTGTAGTCTCTTAGGAATCGACGCCTCAGAAACTCCAAGGCAACCTACATAATAGCATAGGCGCTCTTTCCACTTTATTTTTCCCACGAAGGTTTTTTGAGTGGTTTTACCGAGGCCTGACTGCTCTGCGCAATTCCAGTATCGCCCTGCCAAAGCGATCCTGAGGGGGAATGTTGTGATATGAGGCTGGTGCAGATCAGGAACCAAGCCGAACCATCGGAATTAATACCGAAGTATATATTCGAAGAACCAAGTTGATTTGCAATCAACTTGATCTTCTAGTTGTATATATAGCCCTCGTGTTTCTCTCTGAATAAATAAGACAATTCATACCTCTGAACTACAACAATGTTGAAACGCCAGGCACTTTTCCTACTGGGCGGCTGATACATTGAGTTGCTGAAACACCACTCGCCCTACCAGCTTGATATCTATGCTTTTGCTAAGGTAACCTTGTCTTCGGTCAATTAATATAATGTGAGCTTCGGAGTGTTGCTGCTGCAGCCATCCGGTGCTCTAGAATCCAGCACGGATGGTGAGCGTCTCGCATTTTTTTGCAACCATTAAAAAGATTTCAAAAGCTTTACCCATATAGGGCTGTCATTGCTCCTTCAATACGAGAAAATCTCAGCAGCCGCACATTGAGGTGTAGCGGCTTCTGGGTAGAAGGAGATATTTTCTGCTATTACAAGATTGTTTCAAGTAGGTCCAAATTTTCATTTCGAATTGAAAGCTATCTTCATTGCAAATATGATCATCTTGCAAATTTCAATTGAAAGGAAGAGTCAGAAATCAGCCAGATGCCAACATCATGAATCTAGAGTGGTATTTATGACGTTCAAGCCGAGGCAGACAGCCCCATTTGAAAGGTCAATTCCATGAGCAGGATATAGCCGCCATGTCTACATCACTATGCCTAAACCCTGGACTTTGACCTAAACATATGCAGCTCTTTATGAGTGCTGATAATGATTAGATACGCTAGTAGAAATCAAATTGTTTCGTGGCTTACCTGCTGTAAATTCCACTGCGTTGACAGCCCAGGGAGCCTCGGGGAGAGGTTCCATCGAAATCGTGATATCCTTTGCCCGTAAGTACCCCTCTAGGTCCTGAATATCAAACCAATCCCCAGAAAGCTCTTCTTGAACCTCGGGCGAGAAAGCAGAGAGAGGACCAGGGACAAGATGAGTTTTTCCTGTCTGCCGGTTGTCTGCGTCTTCATTTCGTGACATGGGAATTTCAGGGTAGTGTGAGCCGGCGCCTCCTATTTGAAAGAAAGGTATTTCATGACAGTCAACGGGCCTCTGATTATTGAGAGTCGCATGTAATCGAGCATAGAAGAAGGTTGCAATGGTGTCCCTGGTGAGAAGAGGGAAAAGTAATCGAAAAGGCCGTTCGAGAGCGTTCAAGGGAATAGACGGGCTATCGAGGATCATATAGCCATAGCATAGACAAGCTATCCGGAGATACTCCACAAAGGTTGACCTTTCAATTAATACGACACCATCGAGCATGTAGTCCAAGTATTTGCCAAGATGAGTCGGTGAATGAGGCGATTCCTGAGTTGAGTGGAATTTCGCTTGATTAGCATTTCCGCTTTGATCTTCCCGTAAACTTGTTACAGAAGTTCCTTCATTTCTGCGAGTAGGGCTTGAGTTGGCCTGGGAATCTCCGCGCTGCCTCGCATAGGGTAGGCATGATTGCACCGTTTTCTGAAGGTGATCTGCGAGATGTGGCCACGGAGCGAGACCTTCGGCCTTTGCAACCTCATCTCCAAAGGAACAGATATTGTTGCTGATTCCTTCGAGTGCAATCTCAAGCTCAGCAATGCGGTCTCTGAGAGCTGCAATGTTCATCTCGCTCTGAGCTTCGGGCGCCCGTTGTGCCTGGTGCCTATTGTCAGCGTGGTTGACACCTGTTCGTTGGTTTCTTCTTCTCCCCGTTGACCGAATTCTTATTTACGTACCTTCCGCTTCCCGGGACTTTAATGTTGTGGTTGTTTCAACCCACCCAGTGTTCCTGCTTTCTCTACCAAGGATTTACAGTAAATTTAATGATTTAAGTTCTCGAGATGAAATCTGCGGCTCCCTGAACTTTCACTAATCGCAGTATCACTCACGGTCACTCAGCGGATTCCAACCTCGGTTACATTCCGCAGCTCATCCGAGTTATGGAAATGTAAGTGGGGATGAAAGGCTGAGAGTTGATCAAATCCAATGGGCGGACTTGGTTTCTAAGCCTGATTTTTAATCCTGGCAAGGAGATGAGTGCGTTTGGAAAATCTGGACCTGACCTAATTTGCTTCTGGGTTGTGGTGACCCATCGGACCGAGGTTGCCGACTCGGGCCGACTCCAGACAAAACCTCAGGCCTCGCGAAAATGATCGCAAGATGTTCTGTATCGAGCGGGTGACGATCATTACATACAAGCGAAAAGCATAGTTTCAGGTGGATGATCCGTTTCTCTTAGTTTGATTGACAGGGATTACCACGGAATACCTTCGCCCTTACCATTTTGAATACTCTTGTCTGCCGCCCAGTGGGATATCTACCTATGTTCTTCCCTCTTTCTTCCTCTATTTTCCTCTGGCTCTGCCTAGGCTGGCTTTTTGGTTCTGATTTGATCTCGTACTGCATCCTGTCGCAGCATTGCTCTAATGTACTCTATTTTTGTTTCCCCGTACCCAGCTGATCATGGGATAGTCTATTTTCTTCCCCCTTCCATTTCATTTCTGGATATGGCTCCCTTGCAATGGTTCTGAGACGACCACACCGCAAATCTCGCCACAGCTGCCTAGACTGTAAACGCCGGCGGGTTAAGGTACTCCAAAATCCAAATTCAATCTGTTGAGCTTCGAGCTAATCAGACCACAGTGCGACGAGGCCCGGCCCGACTGCTTCAAGTGCGTCAAACGCCATGTCAAGTGCGAATACGACCCATCCATCTCACTTATCTGGACTATCAAAGAGCTGCCCCGTGGTTTATCTGACCAAGACTTCGGAATAAGTAATCTCAGCGGCAGCACTTGTAGCATGGGCTCAGTTCCCGTGTCCACGGGAAACCCCACTACAACCCCGGGTAGTCTGAGCCTGCTAAACAACGGAGCCAACTCAAGCTCGAGAGCGTCGGTCCTGAATCTGCATGATCTCAAGCTGATGATGCAATGGTGCAACACGACATACCACACGCTTTCCCACAGCGAGCGAACCGATATAGTTTGGCGCAATAACGTGCCCGAAGAAGCTCTCTCACACTCATTTCTAATGCACGAAATTCTCGCCCTCTCAGCTCTCCATCTCGCTCGCACAGGTACTGGCCGGTACCAGTGCTCAGTATACTTAAACTGTGCTGTGGCGCACCAGAATAGAGCACTGACTTTACTCCCTGAGATTCTGGGTGATATCAACGAGTCAAATATCAAGGCTATGTTCGCCTTTACTAATATCATCGTTGTTTACACATTTGGTTTCCCTGCAACACCAGACGTCCTAGACCCCTTAGCTTCTGTTGGTAGTTTGTACCAAGTCCTCGACCTGACACGCAGTATCCTAAAAGTCGTCCGCTCACCGTCAAACTATCTGAAACAAACCAATTTCGCCGCCATGCTACAGGTAGAGCCTATTAGGGCACAGTTACCCGATGATGCCCCAGCAACAATAAATCAACTATATGAAGCAAATGAAGTCTGCAGTACCCGAAACAGAAGCTACGAGACAGGGGTATACACTATCGCCATCGGCAATATCACCGAGATGCTGAGTTGGGTGTATGGTGGGATGACCGCTAGTATGGTAGCCAGGTGCTGGGTGATCCGGCTACCAGCAAGATTTATGGAGTTGCTTCGCGAGCGGGAGCCAATGGCCCTCGGTATACTGGCGCATTATTGTGTGCTGTTACATGCTTTGAGGCATCGTTTGTGCTTTGGCGAGTGGTGTATTTCCGTTGCGAAGGCTGTGTGGGCGATCTTAGATGATCAGTGGAGACCGGTGGTCGATTGGGCGATGCGTGCTATCTTGGGTACAAATTATATTGAGAAAATGACCAAATGAGTGGAGCAAAGCGATGAAGTAAGGCAAAGCAAGATAAAGGAAACCTCAGTCGACCCACAGATTAACTCGAGTAATGTGTCATGATATTCACTGTACACATCAAATCAACACATCACTCTAGTTCTATTGGCAGAGAATGCAACGAAATCAGAACCTGGCCATCTACACTTTTATTTTCATGGATCCATGGTGAAGTCACAGCTCTCGCCACTAGCCACCGGCTATGTGTGATATGACTAAGATCATGGCCACAGTTACGGGAAGGCCAGACAAACAACTACACTACACTATGTCATCAGTTCATGGCCATCAGAGCCATATCGCTTAGCCATTCTCAGTATCTCTTTCCTCAAAAGAACATCAATTAATTCGGATATTTAATAACAAAAATATCCAACATAACACACATAAGCAGATAACGCACCGTGTTGCTCTCAACGAGCCTATGCGTTGCGTTTATATACCCAATGGGCCTCATAACGGACCGAACAAGAAACAAGACACTGGATACAGTCAGCGCGAGCATATTCAACGCAGTGGTTTTCGATATGCTTCTGTTCTGGTTAGTGTCTATCAACCCTCTTCGTATTCCGTCGCACAAATAGAGCGGGAGCGGGACGGCCAAAAGAAAAACAATTTGCAGTGGACGGGCATCCGAAGGCAGAGGCAGAGGCAGAGGCAGAGAAAGAAAAAGACGGGAGAGGGGGGAGAAGCCTGTATCATCAAGCTCAAAGTGCTGCAGCGTATTGCCGAGGTCGAGTCTTGCTTGTGTAAAGCACTACCTTCAAAATAAACTCACCAGTGGGCGATATGGATGGTGACACATGGTTTTTGGTATAAATGCTACAAATGGCGAGCAATCAATAAATCGGAGACCACCAACAGCCCCACCAGGCTGACATCAAGCTTCACGTATCTCTCGGAAACTATGACTCGAGTATACATAATTTACCCTGGAAATGACGTGCGTCTCAAGTCCCAGCATCAGAATAAAGAGGAAGAAAAATCATGCAGGGAGAAGAAGACTAGAACTATGAGTAAGTGTATGGGCTCAATGTTATTTCCAGAAAGTATTTGAAAAAGATCGACGTGGTGGCTTCTATTTTCACTGAGAATGCGATGCTATCAACCGAAGAGATTGCTTTCCGGCTTCCTTCGTCGATATTTTTCGGAAAGACTAGTCACTGATGGCATGTATTTGGCTAATTACAGCGGTTTGACGCCGATATTCGGTCCTTCGGCCCTCTGTATCTTACACCAAGTTAGCTGATCTACAAATATGTGGTTTCTAGCCCCTTAATAGAAGACAGACATATCAGTCAATTATAGTTGCAGGTCTATCCCGAGAATTCGGGCCGAATCATCAGACTGACAAATTCCAGTGACCGGATACACTGTCACCCGATCACGCGGAAATTTCTTCCACAGTCTAAATTCCAAGTTTTTCAAGTGATCTACTCGAGCCCTTTTTAGAGCTCTAATCATTTAGAAAAAACAGCAATGGCTCCGAAACCGCTCCATTTCCCTGGGTTTACACCAATTTCGGAACGAATTTATCTTCGTAACGGACATGAGAGAACTAAATCCCCGTCAGCTCATGATCCGACGAGGATCGTGATCTTTGGATGGGGTGACGGCATGCCAAAGCATGTGTCGAAATATGCCAGAGGCTACCATGATATCTTCCCTTGCGCCAAAATCATTGTCGTGCTATCCAGTACATTGCAAGCATCAGCTCAGCCTCTTGATTCTCGAATTGACGCCATGTCCGCCTTGATTGATATTGTTTTCACACCCCCAAATGATAGCAGCGGCAATGAGGAGCGAATTTTGTTACACGCCATGTCGAATACCGGGGCAATATTTCTCGCTGCCACCTTGGTCGCATATCAGCAACGTCACGGCGGCGATCGGAGGGCTCCACATACGCTATTGGTATTTGACTCAACACCGGGCAGTTTGAACTTCACATCTCAAGTCAGTCGTTGGTCACGAGCAATGGCGCTGGGAACTTCGATGTACTTTCCCTGGCTCTTCGGCATTACTCAAGCCCTATGGTATATCGTTCTTTGGGGACACAGGGTGTGGGAATGGATACGTGGGATTGAACCGTCTGGAATTTGGGCCAATCGTATATTGAATGATACCGCCGTTTCTCCAATTGAAACCCACAGACTTTATCTTTACTCCAAAGAAGACGATATCATTTGGTGGGAGGATCTTGTGCAGAATGTGGTTCAAGCGAGGAACCTGGGCTACAAGGCAGACTTGGAAATGTTCAAAGGCTCGCCACATGTGGGACACATGAGACTCCATCCGGAGCAGTACTGGAACGTGATCTTCAATGCATGGAAGAAAGCTTGGTCTACGAATTGAACTGGAAGCGTTCTCGTAATGTATTCAACTCCAAGTTTTCAACTAGAATCAGAAGTGAAATATCAGCAGTTATGACCAGTCCATACATTACAGTTCGCTTTGAGAAGAATTCCCAACTATAGTAAGTGGACTCTCTTACGAGTAGCCAACCTCCTTATGATCGAATAGAAACAGGTAGGCTATGATCGCCTTGTCAATTTTGATGATCACGCCACATGTACAAAAGCAAAATGATTCTGAAGGCTTTATAAATTCTCGGAATATCAACTGCCTATGACCATACGGGAGACCAACAAGCTGCCATTTTTGTCCGCACTGATGCGACTGGAACTTAACGCCTTCCACATCGGCATTTGCGAAATCCCGAAAGAGACGACGTGTCATTTGTTGAAAGAGTTTCCGAACTTCTCTGGTCAATATCAATCTAGATCAAAGAATCAGACCTGATCGTTCTATCGACTAGGTAAGCCGAGTCCGTTTACCAGTACAGTACGCTCTCTGGCGAGAATGTAACCGAAACAGATGTATCCGAACTCCCGAGGTACATCTACAGCTGAAGACAGAGAAAGTAGATTAGAAGACCTTGTCACCTTTACTGCGCCAATATCATCGCGAGACATTTGCAGCCTCGGCTCCTACCAGAACAAGATTCTGTTGGTGCTTGAAAAGCCATGTCATTGTTGCTGGTCTCATCCGCAAATTCCCGTTGGTATCAGAATATGTGGGCCTTTCAAGTATCTAGCCGCGTCGGCTTACCGAACAAGAATAGGCAGAACTCGGCCTCAGCTACTGAGTAAAATCCACCCAGTGGGGCTATTGGAACCTGAATGAAAATTTTCCATTTTCGGTCCGACTCGCTCAAAGGAAATGAGCGCGGCCCCTCTCTTTTAGATTTTCTGAATAAGTAGTGAGGGAATCTTCGCTCGAAAAAGAGAACACAGCTCCCTATATTGTTTGAGTTACGGTAAACTATTGAATCTAATTGCTTTTCGGTTCTGGGTCGCTTATTTGCCCCCAAGATGCCTTCAGCGCCAACGGCTGATTGTGAAGTACCCCAATTGATTGATGAAGTGGGATCTTCTGCTACCAACGGGCATTTGAATTTTCAAATGCTTGCAACTTTTCAACTAAACGAAAATGACCCTCTGCATCCACACAATATAGGGATAGTCAGAAAATGGTTAGCTGTTGCTACTGTCTCGATGGGCTCGCTTTGTGTGTGAGTCTCAAATTACACACTTAGAGTGCGCTGAGAGATTCCATGCGGTACTAACATTGATTATAGGGCCTGCGCTTCTTCAATCTATTCCACAACTTACAACCAGCTTCTGAAGGATTTCAATTGCTCTCATGAGGTAGTCACACTTGGTCTTTCCCTGTTCATCTGGGGAATGGGTACGTTGCTTTTTGTCCTTCTGGTAAAGCTAGATAAATGCCTGATATTGAATCCATCTAGGTATTGGGCCACTGATATTGGCTCCATTATCGGAGGTTCGGCCTCGTGCATCAAATCTTGCATGGCGAAATCTGACAAATTTGATAGATCTATGGTCGAAGAATCGTTTACTTATGCTCACTGACTTTTTTCTTTATCTGGCTTCTACCGTGCGCCGTCGCAACGAACATACAAACACTTCTTGTCGGTCGTTTTCTCGATGGTTTTGCCGGTAGTGCGTTCTTGAGTGTTGCAGGAGGCACGGTGGGGGACTTGTTTCCTCGTCATCGCCTGGCTTTTCCCATGATGATATATACTGCCAGTCCGTTCATTGGCCCGGAAATAGGCCCGCTGTGAGTTCAAGTTGGCTTTCAAAATCCGATCCCAGTTCAGAATGTCAGCTCATAATTTGGAAAGCCTTGGAGGTTTCATTAACCAGTATGCTCATTGGTATGGTTTGGTTGAACAAACTTCGATTGTTGCGGTCTAATCAAGCTTACTCAACAGGCGTTGGACCTTCTATGTGCTGTTATGCTGGGCTGCGGTCTTGATTCTATTGGTATACTTCTTTGTACCCGAAACATATCTGCCAGTGTAAGTTTAGTGATGACAACAAAGATTCTCATAGTCAATGACCTAACAAACTCCTGCCAGTCTTCTCAAAAGAAAGTTACAGCATTTACAGAATGAGCCCCTCGAGAAAGATTCGCCGTTCTTGCCCAAGAAGCTTTTACATTCCATGTCTAAGCCCATGCTCTTGCTTAGTATGGAGCCTATGTGCTTATGTCTCTGCGTATACTCAGCAATACTCCTTGGTATTCTCTATTTATTCTTTGGCGCTTTCCAAATTGTTTTCGAATCCGTTTACAGGTTCGCTCTGTGGCAGTGCGGGCTTTCTTTCCTTGGTCTTCTGGTCGGAATGCTTTTTGCTGTGCTGTGTGATCCATTCTGGACATCCAACTACCTCAAATTGGAGAAAAAGCACCAGATCCTCTGCGGAGAGGATTCGGGGTTTCTTCCAGAATGGCGACTGCCACCAGGTATGACCTTCGGGTGTGAATAGGTCGAGCAGCAGCTGATTGGAATTTTGGAACGACAGCTATCGCAGGAGCGCCTTTAGTGACAACGGGCCTTTTTGTCTTTGCTTGGACAACATTTTCCAACGTTCATTGGATGGTTCCAATAATCGGAAGCAGTATGTTTGGAGCAGGGTATGTGCCGACAGCTTCGAATGGAACGAATTGGTCATGACTTAACTTTTCGATCTTCCAGAACAGTTTTTGTTTACTCGGGGGTCTTCACGTTTCTTATTGATGCGTACCCTACCTATTCTGCCAGTGCATTGGCAGCAAACAGTTTCACTCGATCTATATTTGCGGGAATCTTCCCATTATTTGGAACACAGAGTGAGTTAAATTTCTCAGCAGGCCGCGGAGAAAAGCATTAACAAAGCTATTCGAATAGTGTACAATAAAATGGGTATACACTGGGCCTCGTGTCTACTTGCTTTCCTCACATTAATTATGCTACCTTTCCCGTGAGTTCTTGACCGCTGAATGCAGCATAACATACCCAAATTAATCTCGTTCCTGGGATCAGTTATATCTTTTACAAATACGGTGCACGGATTCGCAAAGGTAGCCAATTTGCCACCTGAACGGTCCTGTCCTGAGCCAACGCCTCATTTGCGGAAGAAAAGGCAATAAGCGTTTGGTTTCGCCCAAAAAGAGCTCGTCTATCCTCGTAGTGAGCTAAGTCATCGAGATACTTGTCCGTCTCGCCTTCTTGCGGCGATGAAATATGGTTGTTCTATAGATTTCACATCCACAATGTTAAAGATTTGTGCTTTTACATGTATTTGTGCAATATTAGTGGTCCGTAGAAAGTACTGGAGAACAAAGTTCAAGACAAGTGTTGATGAGAGACTTGACGACAAGAAGTAACCTACCTGATGTGGCTGAGGGGCCTCGCCTGTGAAACATTAACAACTCACAAATACAATACCCGTTTTACTCCGGGTTCCGCCAGAAAGCTATCCAGTAATCTTTGGAGCACGCATTTATGTTGAAGAAGAGATGATGGGATGATGGGTGCCGTTGGAACCCGAGTCTCTAAGACTGTATATCTTCGATCCTGAACAGGAGTATTGCCTTGCCGTTGGCGCATTCCGAGTAGAGATCGCCCGTGCTTTAAAGCTATATCCAAATCATTATCTGACATGGAGCTCGTGGACTCGAAGAGACCGGTAGCTCGTTGGCGCTTTTTTAACCAGCTGATATTGGCTTCAGTCCATCATATATTTCACTACTCTTTGATTGAGAGATGCAAGGCTTTGTAACACGACTTTAATAATAACCGATTTCAAATTCACGTGTGAGTTTTTTGCATCAGTCCAGTAAGTGGTCTATGACAAGCACTAAGTGGATTAAGGGCTTCTGATCGGCGCTTCTTATTCTTGAAAATACTCAACAGAAAGAACGACTTCGATTGATAGATTCTTATAATTAGGTCTGACTCAAGCTTTATTCGATTCCCACCCACGTTGGTAAACTGGTTTCACATTTCCGACCGGTGATTTCATCCGTTTAGGAAGGATTTATTGAAATTGCATCTTTTACATGAGTGAGATCTTGACCCTGGGTGGGCAATAATTGGGTAACAGGATGCAGAGCTTGGTTTCACTCTTGAGGGGTAGCTAGATCGATACTGTACATATATTGGAGAAAGACATCATAAAAGATGCTCGAAAAAAATTCAATGATATTGAACACCGCAGCAGATCACAACTATCTGGACAAACAGCACCTCTAGGTAGGCCCGGATATCCAACTCAAGCACCCGTGCCTAGACCTCCGAGCCCATCCCACAGTAGATACTGCTCAGATCGTTTCATACTGAGATTAGCAAAATTCAACTTGAGAACCATGTACTTTCCTCTGTCGGCTATCCCAAATCACATTCAGAGCTTGGATCCTGCGGCATCGTGGGCTTTGGATCTCCCTTCCACTGAGAGAGTCGTCCACCAGGGATATGTTCGGGGCGGGTTCTTCGACAGAACATCGGTGAAGATTGGGGCTGACTTATTGAAGAAAGCCTTTTTGAATTCGAGATGGTCCCTATTACGTTAAATCGTAAGCTCACTGAACCTAATGCTTTTAGGATGCGTAACGGTACGTACTTTCCCGCGAACATATCATAAAGCACTGGGCTATCTACCAGGTGAGCCTTCTCAGCAGATCCTGGGTTGCGCCATATCAATTGTCGGTTGAGGTGAATTGCCATAGTGCTAACGTTCCGGAGGATATCTTCCGCAATTTCGATGGCCCGCGGGAGAACATCCTTGGCCGTGGGAACAATCTCAGCAAAAACACCGTGCAGGACAGAAGATTTGGCTGGAAATCGCTTCCCGGTGGCGAGCAAATACGTGGCGTTACTATATCCCACCATGCGTGGTAGGAAGAAGGAGCTACATGACTCCATCGTGAGACCGATTCGCGCGAAAGGAAAGCCAAATTCCGAATCTTCAGATGCAATGCTACAACCGAGTCAGAAAGTGCACAACAGCATCATGCTGGAAGGATGTTACATACCGAATCGCAGCAGCCAGAGTTGATGTCATGCCAATGCCAACAGCCAAGCCATTGTAGGCCACAATTATAGGCTTACTGCAGTTGAACATAGAGAGCGCGAGTGTACCTCCGGGGTCTCGCAGCTCATTTGCAGGAACCTGACGCCCATGGCTGAGATCCATGTTCAAATCAATCCCGGCGCTGAAAGTTTTACCCGTACCCGTGAGGATAATGACCTTCACCTCGTCGTCAAGATTGACAGTTGTAAAGAATCCCTGAAGAGTATCGATCATGTCTTCAGTGATGGAATTGAGTTTTTTTGGACGGTTGAACTTGACAATCTGGATTGGCGTTTTCTCTAAAGACCACTCAGGGTAATTTGTAATGCGAATTGGACTGTGTGGCGCTGTGACATACGTCTCAGGTATGGTGAGAATTCTACCATTTTCAGCCATTATCAGAGTACAATCGACCTATTGAACTTATTGTTAGGCATATAAAAGAATTGCGCAAGGGTTCCTCGGGCCTTGATCTTTAGACGAAGGAATTAAAGGGGCGAACGAAAAATGGTTGGCTACTTATGGCTAAGATTGCGCGATTATAAATCTTTAGTGCCAGACCTCGGCCTTAAGCTTTTACGCGCTAACGGATTCTAAAAGATCCTTTTTTTAGATTAGTGAGAATCGTTTGTTGAGAAAGTCTCTCTTCGGACCTCGGACCCCCTTGACTTTGAAAATACCGCAATCACGCTACAACCGTCTACTAGTAACCCCCGTAAGGTATCCGCCCTTGTTCTACTTGTTAATCGAACAGTTGTACCGGGTTTGTTTTTTTGTACGCTAAATCTCTGTAAGTAGGCCTCTGGCAAGAGCGCGACTAAATATTTCATTCAACAAGCCTTTGAAACCTATCTATCGTGTCTTGGCATTGGCTGCGTGGCTTCCTACGATATATGGAAGAATTTCTCTCGACGGTTGGGCAAAATACGGAAAAGTGACCGAAGAGGAAGGGCTGCTTGCCAACATTGATCCACGAACATAACGTGTCCTCGAATGCCCTTGAAAGGCAGATTCGGGCCGAATTTCGATCAACTAGCCTGTGTTGCTTCGGTGCCGGTTATACGACTCTGATATTATGATCACGACAGGTGTCTAGCGACCGATAGCCTCAGAGATCAGCATTTAAAATCTTGCAATGGGGAAGAACCACACTCCGTGCCATAGTAAGGTTGCCACGCACATGCCATCTTGCATCGGAGGATTGTTGAACTAAAAACTAATCACAAAATAATGTCGGCCCGGATTGTTTGGTCGGTCTTAAAGAGTTTCCGTTTACGTAATTGACCCCCCCCAATGGCACGTGACTTTGATGATTGCGCAGTGTACTTCATTCGTCATTCCCTCCCTTTTGCGTACTTCTAATTTCTTTCCCTATCGAACCATACAAAGATTTCGCCACACCAATGTCTCCTGGTCTGATTGGTCACTTTTTCAAATCTAACGAAGCCTTCAGCTACGAAGCGCTTCGTGCTGCCGGCTACAGCAATCACGGCGGCGCTGATCTCGGTGAAGTGATAGCTATTTGTTCTAAAATCCGCCCAGGGAATGAGAAAGACTGGGAGCGCGAGTGGCAGAAAGCCGCAGAACGTGCTGTATCTCATGCGGAGCAATCAGAAGCTGCGCAAAATGTACAAAGTGCCTACCATGGATATCTTCGTGCATCGAATTACTTCCGTACCGCTGAGTTTTTCCGCCGAGAGAATGTCGAGCAAGACAGTATCTCGCATTTTTTATATGAGAAATCGGAAGATACTTTCGCAGCAGCGATGACGCTTTCGCCTTTTCACTATGAAGCGATCACCATTCCTTACGAAGAAACCTCTTTGCCAGGCTATCTAGTGAGTCCTGATAGCACACAAAAACCACGACGGACAATCATTTTCAATGGTGGCTACGATTCTACTATGAGTGAGGGATGGTTTGCTATCGGGGCAGCAGCCCTGGAAAGGGGCTATAACTTTCTCTCCTTTGACGGACCGGGACAAGGTGCGGCTATTCGACGACAACAGCTGCGTTTCCGGCCCGACTGGGAAAACGTTCTCACGCCTGTTGTCGACTATGCTCTTTCCCGTGAGGAAATTGATGCCAATGCCATAGTTATCTTTGGGTGGAGTATGGGTGGATACCTCGTGGCCCGAGGAGCAACGCAGGAACATCGGGCGCAAGCCATCATCCTCGACGATGGTGTGTACGATTTTGGCTCGGCATTCCGAGCCCATCAACCGTCCTTTGTTCAAGCTTTGGTTGAGAAGAGATTTGATTCAGTTTACAATTGGATTTTTCACTGCGTGCAATCATTTTCGACTGGGATCCGGTGGGCACTGTACAATGGCAAATGGACTTTTGGCGTAAACTCGCCAGCAGACCTCGTCCGCACAGTTTCCAAATATACTTTGGAGGGCATTAGTCAAAATATTGTGACACCGTGCCTAATAATTGATGCCGAAAATGATCATTTCCTGAAAGGCCAGCCCGAAATTCTTCGAAGAAATCTTCGCTGTGAACATCAGCTTGTCAGTCTGAGAGCAGATGAAGGTGGTGATACTCATTGTCACCAGGGTGCCTTCTTTCGGTTGCATCAGGTTGTTTTCGACTTCTTAGAGACGCACCTTGCTGCGCAAGAAAAATTGTGATGCTGTTTGGCAATGTGCTTGATTCTTCGCGTTTGTTCTCAACTTGGTCGTTCAAGCCGTCATTCGGTTGCTTTATAATAGGGAAAGGTCAATTGATTGTTTTGTATCGTACTTTATGTTCATAACTTTCGAGAACAGATCTCACTGCAGAATAATTGGCTGATTCATTCAATTTCGATATTCAGTCGTCTCATCTCAATTTCCAAGTGCTTCAAATGAAGCTGAATGATAAAATATAAAATTTCGAGAGCTTCCAAGGTCGGCTACACCCGTATCGCATGCTATACAAGATAAATTAGTTTCCACCAGGGTCACTAGCCGTTCGTTCACGCAATTTGATGATTTAACGCGACAAGAGTTCTTCCGCTTTCGGGGGTTGTCTATGTGACACATAGCAGGTAAATGTGGAAATACTTGATTCGCTGTTTGAGTATACCTAGGTATATCGTTGCATAAATCATACGACAAGACGAACCTCGTTTTCGTTCGGGCGGACTTGGCTGCAAATCCAACGAGCAGCAATCAGACGCTATGGAATTTCTGCCCAGAAAGCAGGATTATTGTTTGGGATACGATATTTCTGTAAGCAAGACTGCATCAGTGTTTTGGAGCGTTGTGAGAAACCCGTCATCGTTGCCATGCACGGTTTTTGTCTCGGGCTAGCCATCGAGATCTCCACTGCAGCCGATATCCGGCTCTGCTCCAGAGACGTGCAATTCGCGGTAAAGGAAGTTGATATTGGCGTGGCTGCAGATATTGGAACTCTGAATCGGTTGGCCAAGGTGGTAGGAAACTTTGGCTGGGTAAAAGAGGTGTCGATGAGTGCCCGCGTCTTCGGGGCCGAGGAAGCCCTGCGGGTGGGCTTTCGTGAACTCCTTGCATGAGAATCGCGAGGCTACAATTGCAACCGCCATTAAAATGGCCTCACTGATTGCGAAGAAAAGCCCTGTGGCGGTCCAGGGTACCAAAGAGATCTTGAATTGGTCACTCGGCCACTCTGTGCGGGATAGTCTGCGTTATACCAGTGTGTGGAATGGCGGAGCCTTGCAAACAGACGATGTGCTAGTCGCGTTGCAATCTGAAACTCACAAACGAATGCCCACTTTTGAAAAGCTATAGACTTAGGCAACATATTACTCAATGTTGCTCGTCGAGTCTTGCTGACTTCCGAGTGGCTTGTCCCCAGTTGTCCTTTTAGTATTGGAGATGGGTATGCTCTGAACCATTCTCCGGACTTTCAAATATGGAAGGTGTAGTGGTGACGGAATATCTGTCATTCGGGGAATAGCCACCCTGCATCTGCGATAATGACAGACTTCCCAATGACGCTCGCAAATACAATTTCCGGAAATTTCCATATGGAAACTTCCATTGTAAAGAACCCTCTCCGCATCAGTCGGAAATGGGACGTGCAGCCTCGAAGCTATTCCGCATATATAGATAAAAGGGACTGTATCCAGCAGCTTTGATATTATTATCCATAGGAGATATTTTATTCACACAATGCCTCCTTTGGGCAATCTCCCCTATAGAAATACCATGCACATACTTTAGTGCAAGCGAGCGCCCGGTTTAAGCGCTTTGAGGGAATGTAAGCAAATCGCAGGGCAGAAAAAGAGGGGTTAAGTATCGTTTCAGGTGCAGTTTAATTTGACTTGAGGGGCAAGGTCACGATCTAGATGCTCAAAAAGTGATATCCACGTACGCACAAATATTCGCCGAGCTGGACGAGCCCCTTCAGTTTCCAAACACTATCGAATAGCCAATATATTGATAGATTGCGAATCCAGCCCGAAGAACTAGACTTGAGCGATTAAGGTATATTCCTTACATAACAGTAGTCCGTGATAAATCTCAAGCCGCAAACCATAGTGAAAGCAAGTTGGTGACACTTGCAATGGTAAAGGTCAATTGCCAATCCCGCCGCACTTGATAAAATGTGGAAGCTTCGTCTGCTGGACTTATTGGCAGCATATTCCACAGTGGAGAGACCCACTTTAGGAGTTTCAAGGTTGTGTGGAGAGATTTTGGTCTTTATATCTCATCAAAAGGCTGATAATAGCTCCTCAGACAGCCGAACGGTTGCCAACGACCGTTCATTGCCACCGATGGCCGGAAGATTGCCACTGCGCCCAACTGCTAGAATACTATCAGTACATCGCACAAGGGATGTTATTTGGATTGCGCCCTGTGATTAAGAAGATTTTCTCTGGTTATCCAAGGAATACCTCTAGTGGTGAGCAAAATCAGAATCTCGTTCACAGTTCGTATTGAAGGTGACCGCAAAAATGACTGCGGTGACCTAGGGCAAACTAATGGTTGAACAGCATTACGGGTAGAATTACCTCGGGTCGACCAAGAATTAGTTTGAAATTCATAGCATTGTTTTGCCTAGAACAAAAAACTGAGGCATCATGCCGCAATGGTAATAAATATTGGGGTTCATCACGTCTGGCAACACCCGCATATGAAATCGCTATTCAGGAGACTTGATAGTCAGTCAGGACATTTACCGGGGCTTGAAAGGTTACGATTATGTACCAAAATAGTACATATTATCCAGGTGAAGATATCTTGGGTTCTAAGCAAATGACCTTTGCATACATTATTGCTGCTCATCGTGACGGCCGTAGGAGCATTGGGTAGATTTCACAACTGCGAACAACATTTAATACGTCCAGTGTTTTCATCAAGCGTGCTAGTATTAACATTCAATGTTTATTCACCTTTCTGGTTGGTAATGAGTTCCCAGTCAAACAATGACGTGGGAACTTCGAACGTGCTTCCAGGCCAGAACAAGTCTCTATCTCAATGCGAAGCGTCACGCCTGAAGTAACTCTATATTCTTGAGCTAGAAACACTGTGATAGGCATTATTTGAATTCATAGGGATATTCAGCAATTTACCTTATGACGAGTGGCGAGACTAGCATCGCACTAAAGCTTTGGTGACGTGAGCAGGAACTCAACCGTGAAGCAATTTTGATCAAGTCTGTGCGAACTCCACGAAAAAGGGGCGCAGCGTTATGCTTCAATAACTTTTGTGGATTGTGCCACTTTTTTCTGGGTCAGTTTGATGTCGAGATCGACTCTACAAACGCCCAAAAGGATTACACGATAGACTCATGTATTTCTGATAAGCATATGTCGATCAGATCAATTGACTGAAGAGTTTCAGGTTGACGGAGGAAAAACCAGGCTAAGCAAGAGGGAAATCCCGACGACGGTCCTCTCAGAGCCTCTTCAGTGCTTGAGAAACCACTGATTGTCCAGTGGCTAGCCTCTGGCCGAAAATGGTCAATATATCGGCAGAAGTGAACGCGGCAAGAGGCGAACACCGGTGAGTTCAGCATCTAGAACGTGCGAAGGCTCATCGGCGAGCCGAGAGACACCACTCGCGCCGAACAGGGTTTTCCGAGTCACTCAAAGGTAACTAATATGGCAGGAAAGATAGTTTGTGGATATTGAACCATTTTAGAAATCAACACGCTGAAGAAGATGTGGCTGTATCGTACTTGTCATAACTCGAAACACTGTCTTATTTTTCCATACAATCACTACAAGAAGTGATCATAGAAATTCCCATTCGTATGTGGTACCTTTCCATGCGGTTGTCTCGGAACTGAAATTTCTCATCAGAAGTCAGGAAGCTGAAGCTGCTTAGAAGTGGTGTTACCATGCAGCGCATTGTGTAAGGTATTGATTAACAGCTCGCCGAGCGCTACCTGCGCTGTCAGAGAGACGTTTTTCAACGCTTGGGTGTAGTAAGGCACTTCGACACCATCATAGGTGACCGATTTACCCACTGTCGTGAGATTCAGATACCCTTCCAGCAAATTCTGAGCTTGAAAACTTAAAATTTGGTCAAGATTCGAAATCAGCTGACGCACATCCAAAATTCCATGTATGGGGCTAGAATTATTGCCTGGCCTAAGGATGAGATGGTTGATTGTGGCGTTACCGATTTGGAGATCACCGCTTTTGAGATCGAAGACTGTGTTGCCCTAAACGTATTACGAATGGTTAACCCGGAAGTACAGAGACCTTGGCGTGGCGTAGACATACAACTTCTAGCGTCATCACCGACGGATTGGGTAAAGTTACGTTCGCAACCAAGTTAGTGCCGTTTGCCAGGGCGGGCAGTAAAATTGTGGAATCTTTGATGCTGAAGCCCTTGAATCCATTGAATGCTAGGATGTAAATGTTAGCTGTGAATACGTGCTTCGAAACGCCATTTCGACTTTTTCTACATACTGTCTTGCTCGATGTCCTTGTCGATCACAATATGAGTTTTGAGCTTCCCGAAGAAGGATTCAATAGTGCCTTTCACCGACAACGGTACATTGGCGGCGAAAATAGCATTGTTTATGTAATGTAGCCATTGCTTGAGGTCCAGATTGGTATGCTGATCCTTGATCCCAATTATCGCACTGCTCTTGACGTCTGTTTGTGGTAGATATGCTTTGGCCCACGTGTTGTTGCCGGGTACGTCACGGTTGATCAGATCCAGGGAGAAAGGTTCGATCCGGACTGGAATTCCTATGGGGAGTTTGAGAGAAGACCTGAAACTGAGCATGATGGAGCTTGGACGTGGCTGCATCGCTTCGACCTCAATAAGTCCAAGTGTAGAGTGATCGACAATCAGTTGGGCAATTGCGGGAATGCAAATCAAGAAGCTATAGCTTGGATTAGCGTCAAGCTACAGTAGTTGAGGAACTTCGAGTCCGGTGCCAGGGATCGTACAAAATAGGTAGGAAAATGGCCAAGAAAATTATGCCAAAGAAGGAGTAACAACACCAGAAACGCTTCCAATGGTAACGGAGTTTCTGAATGCGTGTATGTTGTTTTATCTCCAAGGAAATGCTTCTGGTAGTTTCAACGTGATCAAACACCGCCGCATCATGGTCTTCGATGCCATGTACTGCTTTGGGGAGAAACGGTCCTCGATTGACCCCCAGAGTGTATTTAGCAGACCTTTCTAGCTTTTCCTGGTCCATAGTAGACGAAGTACTTTAACTGGCAGGTGAAAAAGGACGAATAGGTCGGGAATAGCAGCGGAATGTATCGTAACCCAGGATATTCGCTTCGAAGTTAAGGAAGTATACTTTGATACTTCCACTGTTAGGGTTGACGGTGCGATATGAAATGGGAAGAAGTACATACTTTGTACTTGCGGTAGAAGATGTGCCCGGTAACTAATCGTACTCAGATTCCTGGGGCTTGGAGTTTAGACAAATCCGGCCCGACTCGTACCTTGGGTCAGGGTATCTGATTAGTATTGATGAAATTGCAAGCGAAAAAGCCATCTGTTTTGTTTTCTCTTGGCAAGATACGCGATGAGAATGACACCGTTACCTTTACTATCACATTTAAGCCGATCATAAACCTATCCAGAGCCTGTGAGGAGTATATCTCCTATTGGTAAAGGCAGTCACTGAAACGCGAGATCTAATTGTGGCTACTTAGACTCGCTATTAGGAGCACACTAGATCGGCGGATATGGCAATGTACGCGTGATTGGTTGTTTGCCTCGGTGAATGGCTCGGTCAAATGATTGATGTCGCTCGTCACTTCGACACTGAATAGTTAAACAGAACCTGTCACCGAAAATTTGAGGTTGGGAGGGAAAAGTCGGCCCGACTTGTAACCCGAGAAGGTTTCCCGCTAATCAATATACTCGCTGTTCTTTGCCGAGATCCAATAGGTCTACCACCCCATCACCGACTATTAATACGAGCTAAGGACTGGAGCTAGTCATTCTAGATGGACCTTCGTCAAGCAATCAATTACACGAGACAAACTCCACTTCACTGTCCTTTTCCACGGACAGGCAACAGAGGATAGATTATTCTGCGCCGATCGGGTATCCTGATCATGGACAGAATCGGCCTCCGTGAAGAGCGTCTGCGGGCTCGAAAAGCGCTCGAAAGAGCTGGCAAACTTCCATTTAAGTTTGTCTCTTCTGCAAAATGGGTCGATATCGAGCGGTCTTGGACGGGAAGAATTCACGTTCGCATTGAACACGACACGGTCCGTGGTTGCACTCCGGAGATGATCCGTTGGTGGTTTGAGAACCTCGGCCAACGAACCACCTGGGATGGTATTGGGTTTGACGGTCCTGAAATCTCATTCTATCACTTGTGGCATCATCGAGATCATGTCTCAGTTATACCTCTTACCGGCAAAAACAACAAAGGCTTTGCAGTCCACAAGAGTTCTCAAATTACCGAACAGTTCAACGATCATCACAAAAAGATTAAGGTGGATGTTTGGACGGAGCGTCTTGATGACAAGGAGTTTAATTTTGTCATCAAGAAAATTGGTTTAACAGGCGTCCGCATCAATCATTTCTATTCCGGCGAAAACGATGGTTCTCGGTTCTACGTCGAAACCATTGCTGGTTTGGGTATCCCATTTGTTGGCTGGATTTTCAACTGGATCTTTCTGCCTTTCGTGTATTCCAAAAGGACCGCAGAGCACTGGATTGCTCACAATGTCGAGGAGACGGGAAGATCGGAGTCTATCATTCCTGTTTTGTACAATCGCGAGAAGGAAGCTAGTGACTATCTGGCATAGAACAGTATCTCCCCTGCCGGAGATAGACTACTCGATTCGACTTAAATCCGTTTTGCTTTTGCATGAAAGCTGAACTGGTAGCATGGGCAATCATTTTAGTGTTATCAGCAGCTTCAAAAAGATAGAGGTACTCTTACGAAATCCTAGCCCTGTAATTATCATCACTTGGTACGTGAAAATGCATAATTGAATTTTTATTTTGTCTGGGTACATGTCGAGCATTCTACGGCTAGCTGACTCTTTGTCAAAGCCACGCGCTATAGAGAGAAGGAGTCTCCAAGCCGTGTCCGAGCTGACAAATCGGTTGGAGCCAAGAAACATTGACCAGGCTTGATTCATTTGACCGTAACGAAGCCCTGTCCAAATTTCATGCGTACGGAACCACATATTTTCCTCTAACCAAAGTTACGCAGGTTGATGACCATGCTACTGAGACATATTATGGCTACCGATGCGAGATTCGAAGCCTCAACGCTTCAAGTGGCTTCACAAGAATCAAGGTGTCTAGGGAAATTTAGACCAGTCTATCCGACTTCCCACAGACCCAGTTAAGACATTTATAATATCAAAAATGAGAGGATACACAGTCAATGAACCACTCTTTCCCTTACGAGAATACTTTTAGGGGTTGGACTCAAGTTCACACCACTAGCTAGGTGGGTTTTCGTCACCCATCTGAGAATCCTCTATAGCAAGGGGGCTGATAACAAAACTGTACCATTAAGTGAAGGTAAAATTAGACAGAAGAGGGGAGCTATGCGAACGTGAATACTACTTAAATAAACCATAATGAAAGATGTCAAGTCTTAGCCAAACTTCCCCTGCCTGTTTAATTTGGAATGGCACCAATCAGGATTCGCCAACCCGTCCCCTAAAGAGTCTTGGAAAACCAATCTCTGGCGTGCACAGCTGCAATGTTCGTATCCGCACGGTCTGAGTACAAACTCATATGACTGATGCCAGGCAAAATCTCGAGGCGTTTTGCGGAAGATGGGATGTTGTTGAAGGCTTCCACTTCTAAGTCCCAAGCCGTGATGTTATCTCGCTCGGCAACAATCATCAGAACGTTGGTACTGATTACACGTGAAACGAAAGGTGCAACTGAATAGTTCAGCAACAATTCTGCTGATTCCATGGTGCTCCAATGCTCATGCAACGGGGCCTCAGTCTGCTTGACTTCCAAGAAGACCTCGTTGACCCGAGGGAAAGGCCAGACAGAGAGCTCCTCATACGGCCGACTGGAGGCCATAGCAATTTTGTTTCCTTTACCCCCAGCGGCGCGGACTCTTCGGTCTTGGAGGATAGCCGCTTCGAGATCCGCAAACCGACGTTCGCCATGTACGCGGCGCAAATTGTGGTAGCCTTCAACAACAGGCACAATACTGACAATAGACTTGATTCGCGGGTCGATCGCGGCTAAAATTAGAACATGACCGCCGCTGTATGAGATCCCCAGACAGCCTAGTCGCGAAGGATCAACGTCGTCTCGAGTTTCAGCGTAAGTCAGGGCGTTGCGGTAGTCCGAGATCTGCTGCCAGGGATCTAGATGTTGGCGGCGAGCGCCTGAGCTCTCCCCAAAACCGACGTAATCGAAGGCAAGCACTTGTACCTCTCCATTATTGACGATGCGTGCGATGTGCGGCAGGACAATTTCCTTCGTATAGCACCACCCGCCGGCGCAAATTACTGTGGGAAGCTTTCCCTGGGCGCCGTCTGGACGGAAAAGGATGCCGGCAAGGGTTTCCCCATCACTTGTAAATTTCACATTCAGTTGCATGGCGGGTGATAACGTTGAGTGAGATTGTATCAGATGATTTGATCTTTGAAATACAGTAGGGCAAACGATATCTGACAGGAATGAAGGGCAAATTAGGTCTCCTTTAATACTTCTTCAATCGGCATGGTAACTTCTTTTTGATGCCACATAATTGACGACAGAATCAAAAACTTTCAACGACTTGCGCTTTTTTTGCTGGGTCGCCTTTCCGAGAAGGGTTCGAAAGCAACGGTGCAATCGCCATCTCGCGATACTTCGTACGCGGGCAATTCTCTAGAATGCGGGGTTGAAGATATCGGTCCGATTCGGCCCGACTCGGCGGGGATGATATAAACTTTAGAACACATTGGCCTTGCTTGGCAGTCTCTTCCCTATATGGTAGTTCCTCCAGCGATCATATCAAACGTAGCGAACCTGAGCAATACCCACATTGAACATATGGTTCGGCCCGATATTTCAGCCCACGAAAGTTGCAGTCCTTTCAACTTCAGTAAACAACGTCATGGCTGCGTAGTGTTCGCATGTTCCCTAAATTTCCCCAGGTTTCCCCCGCACTTCGCCACGGCTTCCTTCTAACCGGGAGTCGAGAAATTACTGGGTTTCATGGTCACTGGAAGCGATAGTGTATCTCAGAAACTCTGCTCTCGGTGATTTACTGACTCTTACACAAGCAATGTTGGTGGCTTTGGGAACTATAAAACTAGGCTGGCTTTTGCTTTTGGTTCGTTCTTCTTGCAGACAGATTAATTGAATGCGTTGTCTTATGAACCATGACTTTCAGTAAACACCCGACAGCCCAGCAAGATGACGTGACTGCCACAGTGAAAGCAAATACATACAACTTGGCCGTCATTATGTTTGCCTCACTGGGATCATTCACCTATGGCTATAACTCATCTATAATTGCGTCTGTTTTCGGTCTTCCATCGTTTTTAAATACTTCAATCTTTCTTTGACTGGGCCGAAGGCGACAGAAGCAAATGATATTATCGGTGGTACTCTAATTCCTTACCAAATATTGCTCATCAACCATTACTTATCGGAGCTGACAAGAAGATAGCGGCGAATGGTCTTTTTTATGGGGGTGGCATTATCGGCTCTCTCACTGTGAACTATTTGCTCAACAAACTCGGCCGATGCAAATCTATTCAGCTTATTTGCGTACTCTGCATTATTTCTACTATCATCCAAGGTGCTGCAGTTCACATTGCGATGATACTGGTGGGTCGGCTCCTTAGTGGAGTAGGAGTCGGCATGATGCAGGTCACGATACCGGCATATATGGTAATGAAACTCATTGAGCTCTGTTGAGACACTTCGATTCGGTGTTCCGGTATCTGACCACCTAGTATAGTCAGAACTCTCTCCTGCAAAACAGCGTGGCCGAATGACTGGTACAAAGATACTCCAATGACCAATCGTGATGTGAATGTTTGCTTACAATTCAGATAGGATCCCATGGGGTTTCAATTGTGATCGGCTATGTGAGAATATCCTTTCCTCCGAACACTCGGATATTTTGGACTGGGTTGATCTAATGACTTAAAAGACCACAGCCGCCTTGACAGGTCTTGGGTGCTATTTCTCCAAGCCTGGGATGGAATGGCGACTTTGTCTAAGCCTCCAGGTGGTCGGCCCCATTATCTTGCTCTCTGGCTCTTCGTGGCTTCCAGAATCTCCCCGGTGGCTTCTTGCACAGAGACGAGACCAGCAGACCTTGAATGTTCTTCGGAAGCTCCATAACCAAGGAGGAGACCATGCTAGTCATGGCGCCGATGAAGAATTCTTTCAAATCCTGGTCCAACTGGAGCTTGAAAAGGAAAATGGTGTTTTGGGGCTCTTGGACATGATAAAACGGGAATCATACCGCAAACGGATTCTAGCGGGGCTTTTAGTCCAGTATTTCTCACCTTCCGGTATTGGGTCCGCATTCTTAACTTATAATGACGCAGATTTGCCTCACAATCTACCGGTGTCCTGGTCATCAACAACTACCAAGTTCTACTGTACAACAACCTCGGACTTTATGGCTGGCTTCCACTTCTTCTCTATACTTTGTTTTCCGCCTGGGGCGCCTTTTCGAACTGGGTCAATTCCGTCCTCCTTGATTGGCTCGGCCGAGTTCCAGTTCTCGCTTATGGCCTCATAGGCTGTATCTCGGTGATGATTGTGGAGACAGCTCTTGTCGCCTCCTATGCTTCAACATCCAACACAGGGGGTAACGCAGCGGCCGTACTTTTCCTGTTCCTCTTTATCATGTTCTATGGAGGCACACAAGATGCGAGTAGCTATGTGTATTGCAGTGAAATCTTTCCAACTCGAGCAAGAGCTCACGGTCTGGGCATATGTATTGCCGGGCTCTTTGCAACTGCTTTGCTATATACAGAGGCGTATCCTGTGGCTTTTGCCGCTATTGGATGGAGGTATGTTGCAACCATTCCACACTGCAGAACTATTTGAAGTCTATGCTGCCGATTTCACTATCTCTGATCAAATTTAGATATTACATAGTGTTCATCCTGATACCCGCCGCATGCGTTGTGTTTGTGCGGCGTCTTCCAGAGACTAAGGGTCTTTCACTGGAGGAAATAGCGTCAAGTTTCGGAGACGAGGTGGACGTTAATACGGAGCATTGGACAGATGAGCGTATCAATGCAATAAATGGTCGTCTTCGTGCAATTGGACTCAGTATTTCCGTTGAAAGACCCTGCAGCTCTGAAGTCGAAGCAAAAGTGGTAACAAGTCATCAGGAGTAGTAGTCTTCAGCTTGAGTGGGCTGGATTATGAGATCATAGATTCGGGTACCTTGGGAACCCTTCTTGATCTTTCATGCAGATCAGAAACAGAACAAATTGAACCCACGACTTTTGAGAGTACTAAAAGTCGAACTCATTAGCATATACTGGGATGCAAATATCATGATGTCAAACACATGCCTTGTACCAGTAGCAGTAAACAGTATGTTTCTTTTTCTATATTCGATAGGATAGTTTCCACAATGAGAACTTTTTTACTAGATCTGGTTTACCTCAATGAAGATACCTCATACCCTTGTTATACGTTACCGATAAAATATATCACCTCGAAAGGGAGATTGCAGAGCTAGTCATCCGATTGCAGGTACATTATTTGTTGTACGGCCAGCCACGAAAGTGAAATTCTTTGCAAACGACTGATTTGCAAAGAATAATAAATTTATATAGACTTTGCTCGTAAATCCGCACAGTATGCAGCCTGAATTCCCACCACACAGTACGAGCGTATCCATATTCAAGTTTCAATTCTTTCAAAGTCGGAATGATCAATAAATTGAATTCTTTGGGATTGCTGGGAATTGTAGTATGAATGGGTCAGGCACACTACAGTGGAAACGCAACATATTCAGGTTCGAAAGCCCATTTTTCATGATTGACTCACTGTTGCCCATTCGGTCTACTCTATATATCTGCTTGGTCCAAATACCAAGTTAGATCCTGGCCTTCTATCTCCCGCTGCGTAAATCCATTTCCAAAATATTGGAACCTGTTAGCTGTTTCGTACGTGTATTCAAAATCTTCGAATCGAGGTTCTCTCAGGGCTTCGAACCACGTCAATCGTGAGCCTGGCCAGATAGCCACCACCGGGCCATCGACCGAACCATTTTTGAACCAACTTGAACAACCATCGGACCAGGCCGTGCGCTTCATAAATTCATCGGTATGTTGAGTGAACTCGTTAACAGCCTCTTGTTTGACCTCTACAGCACGTATACGCTGACGTTGGACTTTCTGCAAGACAGCTAAGACGTAATCCGCTATCACTTCTATGGCTGGAATCAAAGAGCCGTGGCCAACAGGGGAATGTGGACCCAATGAGGCTGAACACCGAGTTTAGTCTCTTCTCAAGCATAAGTGCGTTAGAATGGGGGGAAGGGGGACCGACTGAAATAATTGGGGAAGCCCGCAACCATCAAGCTCATGTATGATTTGGGCGTTTCTCGAGTCCACCGATCCTGAAGGTTTTCCCCCCCATGACCAAAAAGAGGAAACCGAGGCTTGAATGAAATATCGAAGCCCGTGGCACACACGATAGCATCGAATTTGTGCTCCACGTTAGCTGTGGTTTGGATTCCACCCGGAGTGATCGTCACGATCGGGTCAAATACAGCGTCGACATTGTCGCTAGCCAACGCCTCTAGGTATCCGTTTCCAGGTGTGGGTCGACGACATCCAAAAGCGAAGCTAGGGACCAATTGCCGGATCAGATGGGGCTTGGCAGCTAACCTCTTCCGCATGTCTTCGGTGGTCACCTAAAATGGTCAGCAGGGAAGATACACGAGCCACTGAGGGAGACACTCGACCTTGACAGCTTCGCTCTGATCTTTACTTCCCTTGATGATGAACTTAAATCGAGAATTGAGTTCATATTCGATGTCTTTGCGGTATTGCAGGTAAAAATCAGGATTTTCTCGAAAATTCTGTTTTTGTGTCTCGGAATCTGCAAGAATTGAGCTCCAGTAAGCAGGAAACATTATTCAGTGGACTGCTTACACTGAAAGTTCCGACCATCAGAGCCCGCATCCTTTGTCGCATAGTTGTCTGATATCCACGCAGGTGATCGTATGAACGATTTCATTGATTTGACCTGGGGCTGTAAAGACGGAACTATTTGTACGGCCGAGGAACCACCGCCTATGACAGCAATGTCCTTGTCTGTGAAGTCATAAGAATCATCCCACTGAGCGCTATGGATTAAAGTTCCTTTGAAGTTGTGAAGTCCATGGATTTTCGGCCACTTCCAGTTACTATCACATTGATTAGCTTCGATACAGGAAGTGCACGAGAACATCAGGCTCACTTCAGAACTCCACTGGCATCGATCAGAAATTCACCCTCGTCTGTAATCAGACAACCGTCGTCCTTGACAATGGACAACCTCCATCTCGCATCAGTTTCTATCCACTCCGCTCCGCTAACCCGGTGCCGCAACCTGACATTTGTCATGATGTTGAAATCATGCGCGACACGCTTGAAATATTGCCAGAGTTCTTCAGATCCGGAGTAAAATTGATTCCACTCCGGGTTGGGGGCCCAATTGTATTGGTACGCATGTGAAGGGATATCACAAGCACATACAGGGTATCTGTTCTCAAGCCAAGTGCCCCCAACATCGTGGTTCTTCTCGTAGATTACAAACTCGCTGTCGGAGAGATGTTTCCGGAGCTTGTACGCGAAAAGGACCCCGGATGCGCCGCAGCCGATGAGATGATGACTCTCAATTTGCGCGGCTGTTCAAAGACAGTCTCTGAGACCTGGTACTTCTCGGCAGTGGAAGAAGTCAGGAGAATAGCGAAGCTGATGATGTTACATCTCTTGAGATTCAGCAGCTACTTATATATTAGACTCAAGCCCTTTCATCCTATTTCATCTCAAATAGAGGCAAGATTCGTTCGGGTCACCACCTTCCCCGCGTCACTTCCTTGCAGGCATGAAACGGCCAATCGCCATTAGCCTCGGTACGTAGGGAGAAGTGGGGTGGTACCACTGATTACTCCGATTGGCATTCACCCACCGGGGCGCACGATCACCGCAAAGTTGAGATTATTATTGAGACATTATTCCCACGCAGTAAACTCCGAAGTTGGCTCAAGAAAACTTACTTGAACGGCTCAGGGAATGGCGGAATAGAGAAATCAAGTGCTGTTATGAGCGGTCCCCGAGCTCGTCATCGGAGTTGTTATCAGACCCAACAGCGGAAAAATGGCAGTTAGCCCAGTCTGTCAATTCACAGTTAGCTCTCTTCAGCCCCATGGTTGTTAGTTCATAGCCAAGTACCCAGATCCATAGGTTGGTACATAGTTTGCTTGTGTTGCCCGAATCGGGCCGAATCCAAGACCAACCTTGACAGTCTACAATTCGCGAGTCCGTGACCCACGTGACGAGGGAATGATTTGCTTCAATGTAAGGCCGTCTGAACAAAAAGTGGAACCGTGTTTTAACAAAGCATTGCTGAAATTGTCCAAATGACTGGATGCAGGGTTCAATGTTATCCGAGACCGAACCCTACAGTCCGTCCAGTCGAGTCGTTTGCCTCAAACATCATATAAAGACGATATTTCCGTGTGTTTCTATGGAAATGAGGGAATGATGCTATTCTGCGGCTAAAATGGGGCTTTCGTAGCCGAGGAATGTACCGTATGAATATCTGAGTTTTAACAACCATTTTGAGGAAATAGTTTCCCATTTGTATTACCAGAAATGCGCATCAACTACCTCCATGGTACTCCAAAGCACTGATTGAGATAATGTATCTGCTGGCCCAATAAGTCAGCACTATAAAGCTCTTTGGTTATACAATACTCATCTAGTTAGATTATAACGCTACAAGACATTGTATCCGCCATAATGTTTAAGGCGTGAAGCTCAGCCAGGCGTAAGACCCGACCGTGAATTATACTTGAACTTCATCTCACATTCTGGTATGTTCGGGCCAAGCGGAATCTGCACGGCCTAGGCTCAATTGATAGGCTTAAATGTTCTACGGTGGATGGATTTTTGTATCCGCTCTCTTGTCATTCGTCTTGACAGTCCTATACGCATGCGCTTTTCTCATTACGACCGGGTAAGAAAGTCATCCGAGACAACGTACTGAACGTTGAGTACATCCTTAAGGAGGTTAGTGGGGTTGGTCTCAACAGACTATAGCTTCTCAATTGCTTTTTGGACCTTGAGAGAAACGGGATCAGGGAGGAACCATGGTGGAAAGTAGGTACTTTGCTTTTTAATCAGTAAGATCTAACTGTGTAAGATGATTATTCTAATGTTCAGGAGCATTGAAATATCCGAGAGGAATTGAATCACGTTTCCCGGAAAAGAGACTAAGATGAATGGGTAGATCAAATTCTTGCGGCAACATCGGGCATGCGCAAAATGCACTGCTGGGTCATGCTGGCTATCAAATTTCCTTCCTCGTCCCAAAGATTACTCCCGCTGTATGATCGGCCAGACCCAGCATGGTGATTAATGGCCTCCCTCAGATGCCATTCGTTTAGTTGGGGCAGGGGCACAAATACTCGTAGCGCAAAGTCCAAGCTTGAACAGGCTCCGACATCCTCAAAAAACAAATGGTTGTGACACAGAGGTAAGAAAGACAAAATACCATCCATTATGAAGGCCAAGCTAGCCAATCGCTCTCCTTCAGTGCCCAGAGGGTGTTTCACGCGCACCCAATCTCCAGAGGTCCTTTGCGTTGGATGCAGATGATCCTGATCAAGCAAGACGTTCTTAGTGACACCCAGGACATTCTGAGAGGTGACGCCCTCGAGGCACAGACGACCTTCGTAGAAATTCTTAGAAAGACCGAAGAGTTTGTTGAATGTTGTCAATTGATCGTCCGAGATTGTAGCGGATTTAGCCCTCTGCTCGCACAGCTCATCCATGGGAAGGCAGTATTTCCAATGAGTATAATTTCGCGTGGGAAAGGCTGAGTGATAAAGAACAGATTTTTCGAATTTGTGGAAGTCAACTTGGAGTTCCACACATGACCGTAAGAGGCCAGAAGACGGAACCTTTTGTTTCACAGTAACGCGAAAAGTTGCGAGGGATTTTGTACTCCGAAGTTGTACAGGCGTGCAGACAAGCTTTTCCTCCGTGTTGGCTGCGTGCAAGTAGTGCCCGAGGGCTGAGTAGAGATGGAATCCGTCTAGGGCTGCCTGATACGCGGCATGAATTCCGAATACGAGGGCATAGCCTCCATATGCGATAGGTGCAGTATTACCCATTCCCTGCGGAGCATAAAGCGAAAGATAATGGTCCCCTGTCTTCTCCAGCGAAACGGATTCCGCTAACGTGCTTGCCATGATAATTCGCAAGGCCCCCAGTAGCCCAGTCTCCGAATAGTCCACAGGGTGATGATGGATTCATGCACCATGAGAGGACAGCTGGACAAGTAAACGGGAAATGCAGCGGTCGAGGCGAAGAGGAATGTATCATGGGTTGAAAACTAATTTCTGAGCAATAAAACCTCGGTTGGGTCACTTAGGCGCGGGTGTGCCACGATCAATCGACCGGCGGTTCGACTCTCAAATCTCCACAGCCAGGTTACTACAGCCAGTTAGAGGCAGAAGCGCCTTCTGTTTTTTGCCGAATCTAAATGAGTGAAAAGAGATGAGATCTTACAGCAGTGCACATAGGCTGCATCGTCGTAAGCCTGCATTGTTGTTAAATCACTCTGCGTGCGCCTTAAATCTCTGGTTTTATATGACTGCAGCCCATTACTTGAGTAACGACTGTTTCACTAGCAGTTCATATGAGTAAATAGACCCAGGGAAGCATGGGCCTTGTGATGAACGGACTGAACGGGTGAGATATCGTGACGTCTGTAATCGAATGGCAATTCGGCCCGATGGGAATCCGACCGTTCACGTGATATTCGCCGAGTTCGGGCATCCGCGGGAAAAGGGTTGCAGCTCTCGGACAAAATAGACTTGACAGCATCCACATGACCATCATGGACAACGCGGTTGTCTCAGAAGGCAGGGGAGAGGCCACTAGTTCGTTGTCACGCCTATCTTTAACTGCGTGCTTGCGATGTCGCGAACAGAAGGTGATTGCCTCCACAAAGATTCAAGGATGCGGCGTTTGTTAACAATGAACCTCTCTCAGCTCAGATGTGGGCGCGAACGTCCCAGGTGCGCTCGGTGCAATCGGATTGATACGATATGTCAGTATCCCAGCCCTCCAAATCGACGGGGCCCGCGAGGTCAACGAAATGGCTCCCGGCTATTGCAAAGGGCAACTGAACGAGACCGGGAACAGGCTCACTCTCGACGTGCCGTTCCCCAGCAACCCTACAATGGGCCAGACCCGCAACAAATTCCTGTTCATGCCCTCAATCCAAATCCGCGACATCGTATTGCAAGCCTCGGCCGCGATAATCCTCTCGAAGGGGATGTATTTCGTGATAATGACGATGAAATTGACGACACATCCGTCCCGCCTGTCACAGGGACTCATGTACTCTCAGATGTACGTATCGATACACACCTAGAAGGGCTGCTCTATGATGACTGATGATTTTCCAGTCCTACTCAACACAGCTGCGTGTGGCAAGTTTATCCACACCCGAATTCGGTCGGGTCTCCGATCAGCCACCGTTACCACCAACCGCCCTTGGGCTCTCTCTACTGGAAATTTACTTTTCACGCGTGTATAATGCATCCCTTCTGTTTCACAAACCTGTTCTCTTTCAGCAATACCTCACTGGGGGACTCCATGGGACTCTTTTGAAAGCATTACTGGCGTTAGCAACCTTGTATGCCATAACTCATGCTTCCAAGGCCCGTTTTTGTGACACATTCAGCTAATAGCAGATTTAAGATTTCTTCGTCCGACAAATAACGACGACGACGAATCTAAGGGGGGAGTGGAACACACGGAGTTGAAACTTCTTCGTGCATATCATCCCTATGGCCTTCCCTGGGCGAAGGCCGCGGAAAGGGAGGCTTTCATGATGGCTGTGGATGCCCCATGTCTCATGGTAACTCAGGCATTAGAGTGCCTTCAGCTGTATTGGTTTGGCATTGGGCAGCCGCACTCAGCCAACTTATGCCTCGGTGAGCACTCATGCCTTAACTACGTCACTTCTCGCATTTCCCCCAATTGACGGATTTACAGCACTGGCCTACCGATCCTGTAACCTTCTTGGATATGGCAAGAAGGTCACTGACAAATTGGAAAGTTCTACCTGGTCGCTTGATTCAGAACTCGGTCGTCGGTGCTTCTGGGCGTGTTGGACTTCTACATGCATTGTGATGGAGCCAGAACCATATATCACATCGTGTTGGCAGGAGGCGGCCGAGGTGCCCCTCCCAGGAGTTATTTCCAATACAATATCAGGTCCTGATATAACTCTACACGAGAAAATGGATGGGAATTGGCATTCCAGCGCCGTGGAATCAGGAAGCAGAACCGATACTCATCCTGGAGCCGCAGCTTGCTTAATGAAGATGGTTGGACTGTGGTGAGTGATGAGTGGGGGTTTGGATCCCGCGTTATAATTTTCTCTGAGATCGATTCCACAGGGCGAAGATACAGTTATCATGCAACGATCGCGTTTATTCAACCGCCCAGAACTTGGACTTGATGCAGCAACTATCATTCTTGGCAACATCGCTGTTTGACAACGCAATCACAATGAGAACATCGGAACTCAGTGACTTATCATCGGAGGATCAAGTTATAATTCTTGTGCATGATGCTATCTACCATCAATGCCAAATGACCTTGCACTCGATGAATGTTCCATTGTTTTCCGGTATCTCTGCTGACCCAAAGGTTGACCTCGATACGCAAAAACAAAGCGCGAAGACTGTCGTGAAACACGCGGAGCTGTTTCATAGCCTACTAGAGTCTTGTTTCTCTGGGCGATACCATGTCTCACGTCTTCCTCCTCTTGTTGGCTATGGTGCTTTTCTCGCTGGTATCGTTCTCCTGGTCGCGGAATTATCTTGCCAGGGAAAAGACGCAAACATACCACCTGTTCAAAGTTTGAAGAGTAATTACAAACTTGCTGCTGCCAGGTCAATATTGCGCTTATTAGACGATTTGCGAATATATTGGCCAGCGCTACAGCATCCGGTAAGCCGCATCTGTCATATCCGTAGACACAAAATTTGGGGTTTCCTAGGGTGCATGGTTTGACGATTGACTTCTATAGTGGGAAAGGTTGCATGCAGCTCTTGATATGGGCTTATCGAAGCAGAAATGCCCGCCTAGGCCTGAAACATCACAAAGTGGTACGTCTCGCGCGCATCTCCTTATAATTTCAACATTGATCTTTTAATATAGCTCCAGACCCATTGTCGGCACAAGCAAATACATTCGGGCCTCCTGAGACATCTGCAAGGCACAACTATTCCAAGAATGCTTTACATGACCAGCTGCAGGTTCCAATGACCGATAGTAATGCAATAGAAAGGCTCGAAATTCAAGACGGATCTCATTCAACATCGGCCATGGACTGTCAAGTTGAAGCCCCAAATGAGATCGAACAAAGCGGCTCGTTGTTGAGCCAGGTCATTCTGCCAGAAGACCATGATTGGTACGATCCATGTTTCACAGGCGCTGGAGTTGAGCAATTTGTCGGGCTTAATCCTTCCAATATCTTCCAACAAGGCTGGAGGACATTTGGCTAGCGATTTGTGAGCTAATTTTGCTTTCCCTAAACTGGCTCAGTGACAACACACGATCATCACATCTTCTTTTGAGTTGTTTCGAGGGATTGAAAATGGCTAACGATACACTCACTTATGAAGCATCTGTCCTCCAAATTGTATCCCAAGCGCTCGAACTCTTTTATTTATTCGAAACTTCTGGTGCATTGAGGTCAGAGCATATCACATGTCTTCCCGCAAGGTCGTACAAACTCGCTCAATAATAAGTTGTTCAATAAAATGCTTCGCCACTGTCAGGATAACCGGAAAGGCCGATTTCAGTATTGCGAAAGCAAAGGCCTTTGACGAATAACTAGATGGCAATGAGTTTATATTGCAAGTGACAACTCCAATCTGCAACGATCGTTACACTGCGTCCATCTCTCGAGGATTCACTTGGCTGTCCCGGATGAGACTGTGCGCGCAAACTTTATCGCGGCATATCGCTTGGAAGATTCTCACGCACGTCTTCAAATAATGAAGGCGTCAATTATGTATCTAGTTGATTGTCGAAGCGTAAGGGGAGAAAGCCGGGATTCCATGTTTCTTTAGTTAGAGAAGCGTTGGAACTTTCTGTGTCGCGTTTCAAATTCTTCAAGTATTCTGTCAGCAGATTTGTCTTACTCTACAATTCCGTGGCGGATTCCTTTTGTAACATAGATCTAGTTACTAGCGCACACTGCCTCTGAGTACGGGGTACCCTAATGCCGTGGACGATTGCTCGCGGGCAGCCAGACTCGAAATCTCTTTCGAACGGCTGAGGCAAATGACCAGGCCAGGATAGGCTCAACTTCTATGGTCTTCAATGAAGAAGGCTGAACGATTTCATATAGCAGTGTGGGGTTCAATAAGAATTGAATATCTACGTGAATGTTGATCAGGAAAGAAGAAAGCACTTGGTGAATGCTGTTTCAAATCAACAGTGGGCTCCTATGTTGATAACGAGACCGGCCAGGAGTACGAAGAAAATATGACTTTGAATAGAGAGCACGCCTAAGGTGCAGACTTTAAGGAGTTGCCAAAACTGTTAATATTCTGCAGTATCACTGTCTTCATGACAACCTTGCGTTTTAGTTACTACGATAGTAGGTGGGTGATGACAGTTGATGACAGTTGTTAAGAGAACACAAGCGCTACAAGATGCCATGGAAAGGAAAGCTGCCCACTTGCCCAATTACAAATAAATATAGATATGCCTAGTGATGTGATCTGTTAAGCAATCCCATTTTTGAAAATGACTGTACGACTCGGACGGAACTATTCAAATGCTTTCTCATATTTCGAAGGAATAATGGGTAAGCTGACGTAGTTGATATAGGCAGGGCCAAAGTGAATGTGGTTGTGACCCTTGAAAATTTCCTCCGATCTAGAATGTGTTAGGTTAATGGATCTCCTGTATGTGACCGTCAAATGGACTTTATCAGATTCATACCTGTCAATAGGGTCATCATGTCCCCAAAACCCGGACCCGGCTGTGTCTCCTGAACTCACCTCTAGAACCAGGCGGCCTCCGCATTCAACCACTACGTTTGTGGGCCAGATTTCCACATCGACGGCGTATACCTCGTTTGGAACCACAGGCAGAACGTCTGTGGAGTAAAAATCTCGGTAAGGTAGCCAAGGCCGGTGGCGTGGATGATGGGGGTTGGTCTTGCGGAGAGACACCCGAAGCCACCCCTTCGTTATTGGAACAGGCTCCCCTGCAGATCCAGTATAGGAAATTTCTTGACCAGATGATGCCAGGTGACGCAGGCTGACAAATAAATCCATATCAGATGGAGAGCTTCCCCATCGATCTCTGCTGGCTGAGACATTGAGGTGGGCAACGATGTGTCCAGTGATCTCAGTTTCTGTTTCAAAAGGTGCCGAAGTGAACGTCAAAGTGTCAGAAACTGTGTTTTTTCCAAGAGCTCTGTAATTTAGTTTTCGTGCTAGCGACTGATCCGGTCGTACGGATCTAAGCTCTTGGTCTGCTGTAAGGTAGAAAGGCGTATACTTTGTCCTGGCTATCGGCCATTCGCTTTCTTTTCTCCGGACGAAAGATTTCTCCGCAGATGGATTGTTGTACCCAACATCTCCTTGGCGAAGAACCAAATCAACTGCAGGGAGAGCCCCCCTTCTAGTCCATCCATCCCGGTCTTGGCTTTTCAGCCAAGCATCGAGAAAACTCCTTTGGACTTCTACTTCTTCGGGATAGTAGAAGGGTAGGTCATGCCGTCCCACGATAAATCGGAGATATTTGAATTCAGATCCCGCCCATAAGTACCCATTCACATTTCCTCGGAGATGCAGTAGACTCCCACCCAGATTTGCCACGCTCAGAATAGGAACGTTGATATCTTCAAGGTTGATGTTAACAGACGCTATTTGTTCGTCGTCACGGAACCGCTGCTGATGTAGAATAGCCTTGTATCGGTTTGCATCTAATTCATTGGCTGAGAGGTCTCCTTCAATAGTGTCAGGGCCCCAATTACGTGCAGCACGCCCAGGTAGTCCATATTGGTTCGGCGCAACCTGACGAGCGTACCACATGTCATAGAATCTGTTTGATAGAATCCCACCATGTCGTATGGATTCATTATAGGCATCGGAAAATCCTTCCCAGGGAACAATCGCTGCCAAGCCTCTAGGTTGACGGGCAGCAACCTGCCATTGTGTAGCTGCATAGTAGCTAACACCCAGGAGGCCTACCTTTCCAGTTGACCAGGGCTGCTGAGCCGCCCACTCAATGACGTCACAGAACCCATCGATCGCAATTGCGGATTTGACGTGCAAGACTCCGGGGGATTGTCCGATACCAATTTCGTCAGCTCGCACAACCACATATCCATGATTGGTCCAAAAGAGAGGCGTCGGAGTCTCCCATGCAGAATGCTCTGTTTGGTGCGCTGGATCCACTTCTGAAAAACTTTTCGGGTTGAATCTTTCGTTCAACTGGGTTAGCATTGCTCATTGCCGGCACGCAAAAGTCCCACATACTGTTTATAGGAAACGTCTTTGCCATACGGCCCATATGTCACAAGAACCGGAAAGCTGCTTTCCGTTGAAGCTGCTTTGGGCTTGTATACGTTGCAGCGAACCACACCACCATTCCCTAGTGGCACAGTTACATCCTGCTCAAGGATGAATGGGAAGCTCGTTGTATCAACGGTCTGAATATCTTGATAGCCGTCTGTCATTTTGGCCTGTTTGATCGGTATCAGATATTTATGGCTAGCTTATTAAGAATTAAGGGGAAACAGAGGCATCTGCCATACCTTGAAAAGAGGACTGGTCCACCAGATTGGTAAAGGTAATGTCTGTAAAGGCAGTTGGAATGTGGAACTGAGAATTGGCAGCTTTTTATATGAGAATTCAGGTAATCTTAATCTCGATGGAATTCCTACTGCAAAAAGGCATCCCGGTCTGTCTCCACCGATGTCGACTTCCCCCGAACGCCCCCGAACGCCCCCGAACACCCCCGAATCACCCCCGAATCACCCGAACGCCTCAATTAATTGCAAGTGAAAGAGAGGTCCCGATTCCTATTACTTTGAGTTTGTCAATCATATTTTCACATTCATACGCGTTCAATGACTACACTCACACTTTCGCACGAAACTTGTTTTGCAAAAGATTGTCTCGTCCTAGCCGACGCAGAACCCAGGTCAGTAGGGCCCTACTGAGACCTCAGTGGGGTGCTTAAGTAAGCGCTCAGTAGGGTGTCTATAAGGTCAACCTGATCCAATTCCAACAAACCAACTTCTAAAGTTTTACAGTAAAAAATATCCCATATGAAACTGGACTCTTTTAGCATTGAAATAATATAGCTTGTGTCTATATTTAACTATTTTTGATGGTTGTGTGGTAGATCAAAGTTTGCCCAATTTTGAGGAATCAGCGTCAAGTCTTCCGCTCCGCCAAGATATATCATTTACCGTCACACTAATATATCCCGATTCGGGCTATTGTCACATCAGCCTTTGTCTCGACCACCCCAAGGCCAAACAACTCCTGATTTTCAACTAACTATAATCCAACAGAGTTACGCTACTTAATCCAATTTAGATTCCTACCTAGCCATAGGAAATAGAGATACAAACAAGGAAGAGATCTCCGTGGACCCTCACGTGACCTAGGGTTTTAGGGTTTTTTACACCGCCATAGCACACCGAGGATCGGGATCAATATAAGTTCCAAGACTCTAGACCACTAGCAGTAAAGCGTGTTTTCTAATAGAAGTATATCGAGTGTTTATTTATTTCTCCAGCTTAGTGCCCTTACAATGCCCTCAATCCTCGACTCGCCTAGGGTAATTAACCTAAACTTAGTCGGCACCGTTATCCTATTCCTATAGATCTATTAGCTTTGGTCGTGCGTCTCGTGGGTCCTTCTCACCTCCTTATATATAACTTAATATTCCGCATTTTGTCCTTAAGGTCCACTTAAGTCCAAAGCCCTAGCTACGGATTAACTGATAGCTTATCCTATTCCTTTAGATAGGCCTATAAGTTCCTATATCGTAGCTATAACCGAATCAATATACGAATTTCGCTTCGTGACTATAGTATCCGCTGCCGTCGCGGCCCTTAGAGCTTTTGTGGACGATTCGACCTAGGTAGTCCACGTCGAACGAACTCCTTAATTATATCAATCTCCTCCTACTGTTTTGTCGCCTAGTGTTTAGGTGAGCCCTATTAGGCTAGTTAGCGAGGGCCACTCGATTGGCCAAGGAGAGGTTCTTCCTAGAGAGGCGCCCTATATCGAGTCACTAGTCTATCGATCTCTAGGCCTAGGATCTCTAACAGGAAACGTGCCCGCGTTAACCTAGATAGCGCTAGGGAGTCCTATTCGCTTCTTATTTCTCGGGGTAGTGTCGATGCTAGATAGAGGCTCGGTGTGCCCTATCTCGAGCCCTAGTCTATACAATCTCCCCTTATAGCCACGAATAACTACCGTGCGTTATAGGAATGGCGAATCGTGGCTTTACCTAGCTAGACTAGCTACTCGATAGGGGTACTCGCAATTAAGTGAGAATAGCGATTTAAGGCTAGTAGAGGCGTATATATAGATTAGGTTCCGAGTATAACACTCTATTTCCGATCCTTAGGACTCTTGGCTTCTAGGAGTCTCGCTATCTACCCTAACACCCTACGTTACGGTATACCTAGGTCTTCTCGGATCGATTAGATCGGCTTAGGCTATAGGGTAGAGAGCTTAGATACTCGCGAGGCGCTTATCCTTAGCGGAGGAGGTATTCGCCGCGCGTTAGTCCTGTTCATAGCTTAGCCATCGCGCGGCCGAGGCGATAGCGAGAGTGCCTTCTAGCTAATATAGCTCTAAGCTACGCCGGAATTGGTTATATACGAGGTATAGTAGACGCGCTCTATTAGTGCTAGTCGACACTAAGGTAGTGTGTGTTCGTCCTCTAAATCTAAGTCGGCGAACCTATTTAGCTATAGACGAGCGTTATCATTTTCCTTGGGTGTCCCCTCGCGAGATAGTTCTAGTGCGGATCTATAAGTTAGATTCTTGCATCGATAGTCCTATACGATATCCTCCTACCTAGTAGGTCTTCGTGATCTCTAGCTAGGCTAGTCGTCTTGGGAGCCCCTTGCGCGATTTATGTCGCCGGGCTTAGTAGACTAACACTATCTAAGGCGGTTCTAGCGGTGCAAAGTGCCGCACGATCGTATATACCTATAAACGACATCGTCGACGTATATTTAAGAGAGTCGCGAGGAGAGGTCGCATCTATATACGCCTAGAATTCGCTAAACCCTAATCGCCCCTGAGACGTATAGGGCCTCGCCTTGTATTGCACGTTGGTTGGCTAGCACGGTATCCACCCTAACACTTTACATTCTCGCCTAGGAGGTATGCCTAGGCCTCTAGCTAATAGAATTTCCAGTCGGGAAAACCATAACAAAAGATCACGCGTCCGTACTGTCCCAAGATACCACGCCCTAGTCGGTCATTAGAGTATACTGGTTAGCGCGAGGCCACTCGAGCCTATATAGCTCGGCTCCGTGCGCGATGGCGGCTCGCTCTAGCTCCAGCTAAGACCCCTAGTATATTTTATAACCTATTCCTTAACCATGATCCTTGGGCCATGCCGGCACCGCCGTTAGAAGATTAGAGTGCATTTAGCCACTTCGATGAGCTCCGAGAGGCCCTCGTCGCAGCATCACTAGAGTATGACGCGGAACGCCTCAGCAGCCTAAGCCCGATAGCTATAGTAGAGCCATAGCCTACCAATTCCTCCAGTGAGCCGCAGAGCCACTATATAGCTAGGTGCGTTACCACTTAAACCAAGGAGGCTACCGCTAACCACACACGGTCTCTAGTGATTTATATCGATTCACCTTTTCTACCCATCGACGCGTCCCGATCCGATCTATTTAAATCTGCCCTTAAGCCGAGCTTTGCCATTACATCTCCCGCTACTAACGATCTATCCCCCAACGTGCTAGCCGCCGCCCTCGTCGACTAATTAGTGCAGCCTTATAGTTACGGGCAAGAATCCCATCAGTCGCCCACCGCAGTACCCGCTAATACGGTCACCTTATCTAATATAATGAGCTGGGCGTGCCCCGACCTTCTGCGGCCGCCCACAAACAACCGGATCGCGTAGTATCCGACTCCGTGGGATACTCTACTACCGACCCCTAAGCGGCGCAAGATCTTCACTAGATTGCCCCCGCCGACCGCCGAGGACACCTCCCTAGAACCCCCCACGGTGAACCTCGAGTCGGACACGGTTTCGGACGATGGGACCCTCTAGGTGGCGCTGGATATTGATAGTGCTAGCGGTCTCGTATCTAGCTTGGCTGTTACTCGGGAGGGCATCTACTAGAAAGCCCGACGGGCTAACATCAGTAATCTATAGAGCGGTCTTTATCTTGACTCGATCCGTGTCTAGTGGCTAGACACCTATGGCTAGCTAAGGCATCGACGTCAGCCTCTTCACTATGTTCCCTATCTCCCCTTTGGCCGGCTTGGTGGGTTCTACGAGGTGAAGCTCTATATTCTGTTCCCCCGCCTGTACCACCTATTGCAAGACCATTTTGTCATCACCAAGGCGGAATGGGAGACCTAGACGGACGAGATCTTTCTTCCCGCGATTTAGGCTATCTATCCGTCCTCGATCGGCCAACACTTTCCCTCGAGTGCTGCGCACATCGAACGCTCGGCAAACGCTCCGCAGCGGGAAACCCGCACGTAGGCTGGGGTGGGTGCCGTGTATACGCAGGATTTCCACTATCGACTGCAGCCTAATAAACTCGCCGCGCTGTGGTATAAGATCTAATGCCGAGTTTTGGAAGAGGGCCACTCTTACTTTCGAGACTCGTAGATTATGTTGACGGCTAAGAACCTTAAGCTGATCACGCAACGGCCGACTTAGTCCCAAACCCGCGACCTATTCTTGGCCTAATAGAGTCGGGCTATAAATCCCACCTTCCTGCAACGGGATTTCTACGATATCGCGAAGGAGATGATCTCCCATCGACATTCACCTCCCTTTCCTTACGCTCCCCCGGAGCCGCCACTGACCCTAAGCTAGCGGCGATGTTGCCTTGATGGATTCTATAGGTGGCTCTCCCAGAGTGAAGCTACAGCCACCCTTCCGGCTCGCTTAACTCCTTTGTCCGAGGCAGACTAGGTCTTAGGGCAGCCTTATAGTGATTCGGACCCCGAAGTATCTACTAGGCTTCTAGAGACGCAACCAAGACCGTATATAGAAGCTCACTCCGTAGGTTCACCCGATAGCGAGCCCGACCATTATCTCAATGAACCCCAGTCTGCGGATAATAGGCTTCCTCGCGACCTACAGCCTTTGGCTAGATAGCGGGTATAGTTTTATCTATAGTCTTTCCTTCGGGACTAAGGATCGATGACTATCGCGCCATCGCCGTCTAGCCCCATCTAGAAGCGCGGACTCCGCTATATCTAGATATATAATACCTCAAAAGAGGTCTTCGCTGCTAGTAATCACTATCTCTTTTCTAATAAGGGGTTAGACACTCTCGCCCTTGATCCCGGAATGGCTCGTTCCTAGCAATATATTAGCGGTGCCATAAGCCACTCGCCACTCGTCGTCCTCCGCGTATACCTCTATACGAAGTAGCGTTGCGATGTGGCCTTACGGGGCTATCGATCCTAATCCTACGGGACGCGGGAGGAATATCGTGTTACCAGGGCGGTATTCTAAGCGATGGACGACATTCTTCGTATACGAGATCTAGCAGCAACACCGATCGTCCTCCCGCTATCCTACCAGCCATTCTTTGTGTATCCCACGTCGCTCATTCTCGACTGGTGGCGCTAGAATATCAACAAGCTCTATCTAGGGTTTAAGATAACGTATAGCCTCCGCCCGCGGACCTTTGTGCATTAGGAGCACACCCACGTTATAATGATGTTCCTACGGTGTCTCACTTCTGTATATAGTGGACAGGGCGCGCATCTTCGCCGGAGCCTAGGATTGTGGATTGACCGTTATATCCGCTAGCCCCGCGAGGGCTCCGATCGCGAATAGGTGCAGGAGGGTATGGCTCTCGGGATGCACCTCGAGCGCTCTAGATATGCCTAGATAGCGGACAAGCTCGACTGGGCCATAATGATCTTCCTGCCTACGCACCGAGCATATATAGTGTTTAACACTCCTAGCCTACAGTCGGCGTACCACGCCCGTTATTGGTAGGTGGTCCGCGCCCAAGACGACTTTCTTCTCTTCCACGATATCTTCAGTCGTCTCTAGGAGCATCGGATAGACGCGTAGCGGTCCGCGCTTCTTCTCTAGCTCCTAGTCGATCTCTGCCTCCGTGCCTTCCGCAAGGACGTCTTCCAGACCCTAGCCGATCGCCGGTGTATATAGTAGCCGCTAAGCCCGGACCGGATCCGAGAGGCCTATACTAGGGATATACCGCTCACTGGGGCGGGGGTTCGCTACGTCTTTGAGTATAGTCGCTTATTAGATAATCTTTATTTTATATCCCAGACGCACATCAAACTTCCGCACGTAGAGGGCCTGTTTATCTGGCTCTAGGGCTAGGATAGCGATGGCAACCAGGGCGATATACCTCGCAAGCATTGGAACGACAAGGCGTATTAGGTGCTCTACCGCCAGTGTTTTGGGGTCATCGCGTAGACCTACGGCGTCCAGCAAGCGCGGGCATAGCGTCTCCGACTAAAGGAGACATAGGTCCGTACGCATTAGGTGCTTCTATACCCCAGCGACGAGACGTTCTAGTCCGCCGGGACGAAACAGTATCACGGTAAGCTCCAGGCGTAGGCCAGTGTGCATTAGGAGGTCGTCCGCTACTACCAATAAGGCTAGCCTACTGGCCTAATCACCGTTCCCGCGGACGATATAGACTCGCTCCTAGTGTCGGGCTAGAAATGCGCGGGGGAGCCTAGCCCGCTTACGGTCACCGTGCCTTCGGTGCCCACCAACCTTACCTAGTGGCTCGCCGTGGTGGATGATTCGAGCCTAGTGGCTACGGGAGAAATCCCTTTGCCTACTTACGAGGTGCGGTCCGGAGCCATCAGCTAGTATGTCCGCTAAATGGCTCCCGAGCGCCGCCACCTCCGCTCCTTTTAGTGGGTCTATCATATTCTGGATAGCGAGCTCCATAAGAACGACGCGTGGCTCTAGCAACACCTCCTTAACTACCTGCGGGCCGTCGTGGAGACCCAGCGCGATAAGCTCAGTTCTCTCCAACGGCCGCTAGTCTCTAGTACCTAGCAGCGACGGCCACGGCCCCGACTCGACGCTGGCCTAGCCCCGTTGAATCTCTGCGTGTAGCAGCTCGAGGACGAGGACTCTAATCCCGACAATCTCCGCTCTAGGTGGGACCGTCTCTCGCGTCGCCTCTATCGTAAGGAATCTAAGTGGCGCACAGCCTAGAAAGAGATTCGGCGTTAGCTCCAGTGCGAATAAGACAACCAGACGATTTGGTAGGCCCTCAAAAGCCACCTGCTGACCGACGAGGAGCGCCAGTATACCCACGCCCGGTTCTTCTAAGTGCGGGCGCGATACCGGATCGCTTACGACCGACTCGCTTATGCCTCGCGGGAGTCGGCTAAGCTGTGGCGGTAATATTACTATCTAGTTGTATTGTGGGGGTTATTAGGTTGTATCTATCTTATATATAGTATATCGAAGCCGCTGCTAGGTATATCTTATATAGGGCGGCAAGGGAACAACCGTGCTTCGCTTTACCCTAGCCCCCGGTACTCACTCCCGGTACTCACTCCCGGTATTCACTCCCGGTATTCACTCCCAGTATTCACTCCCGGTATTCATCTTGAATTCCCCGACCAACCCTCGTCCCATCCCTACGCCCGTCTCTTGTGTTTGGTCGGTTCTCGCCGTCTCACTCTCATAGAGACCGCCTCCATCGAGGAGACTTTTCGCTACTACGCTCCATATCATGTTTTGATCTGCCAGCGCTACTAGTGTGCGGTCGTGGACGCGTAGATCAGTCGATATCTTCGCCGTTTCCACCACGGTGCCTCTAGCACTACCTTCACGGTGCGGGAGGTGCGGCAGCACTTTGAACGATTCCCCACCCGCGTTCACCTTCTTCGGGATCTCTGCATTCTATCAGGGCCCGTTCCGCCGGTCCTAGGGCTCGCTCTCCACCCAAGCTTCCAGTGCCGGCATCCCTCGTGCGGTTGGATCGGTCGGGAGGCGCGTCGGATCCACGAGCATTGTCGAGAGCACCACGGCTAGCAGAATCCCTATCGCCGCCGGGAAACGACTGCAGTTCCGTGGCAGGATACCACTAGTCAACAATTCGTGTCGCGGGGACCGGGGTCGTAGCTATTCGCTGTGCACCTCGACGCTGGACCGCTTTTATCAGGCCCCGGCACTTCTTTACCACCTAGTCATCCTGCACGCATTAGATCCCCTAGCTCCGCACGGGCATCGCGGCCAGTAAGTGCTGATAAGGCGGCTCCGCGTGGGCTAGTGAGCGTCGATCTACGCATCACGGACGAGCCGACCCCGGCTATATTGGCGGCGGAGCCTAGGCTCGAGATGACGCCCCCGCCGAGCGGGCAGCTATGCACTCCAAGCTTCCTCACTAGCACACCACCCCCTAGCGAGCAGTCCGACACCGATGGCCCGTCCACCGACGAACCTCTGCTAACCGCCTCGACTCCTCAGGAATCCCTATTTATTCCCGCTCCCGCCCTAGCGAGTCCTCCGCTCCTGCCTACCGTGCGCGAGTGGGCATCATCTTGCCCGCTTTATCGCGCCCACCGCGCGAAGAGCGCCGCGCGGGCGAGCCATTTGTTCGCCGACTGTCCCTCGCCCAAGGCGTATACGATACGCAAGGAATGCCGGCGGATTTAGAGGCGGCTTCCCGCGGCGCCCTAAGGCATATGTCCCGACTGCGCACTTCCTATGTCGGTTTATGCTAAGTGGTCGCAGCGCGGGTCTAGTTGGACACTCCGAGTTAGATAGGAGTGCCAGTTTCCCGACGTCGTACTCCCTATGGTTGCCAATATTATGATCGTGCATAGCGAGCTCAGCTGGCGCGCGATCTGGGCCTAGATGGAGGGCGACGGGGTGAACCTCCGGGATGCTAGGGCGGTCTATAGCTAGCTCGGGCTTAAGTAGATGGTCGATGGCATCTTTGGATTCCAGGTTACGTATCTGTTTCGCCGCCTCCATATAGTGATCACCAAGGACGATCGATGGGGTCCCGAGTATCGGTTACGTCGTCCCGAGCGTCAACCCATCCCTAATATACTTAGATCTTTGGGCTGAAATGGTGCACGGGACTTTTTTTACTTTCCCTTTAGGCTATGGGTCCTGTATATAGTCTACGTTGAACTCCGCTGGTGTTCACCCACTTTACTAACAAAATGTACCCGGCCCTAAACCGGAATGGTACTAGCGCCCGCTGGTATTCAGGGGCAAACCCGCTGGTATTCACTACTTACTGTTAGCGATATTAACAATATATTTTTATTATTTTTTTGATATTATCTTATTCTTTAATCCGTGAAATATGCCCCAATCTAGATTTAGTACACCATAGTCTATGGTTGGGGGAGAAACTGATATCTTTCCACCATATGTTAAGATCCTACGCGAATGGCGGGTGGCCCTTTGCACTACCCACGGCAACTGCTACATTCGCCAGAATCTAGCCCGGTATTTACTTAAGAAGCATCGAACACCAAGTGGGCAGCGTAGGAGAATTGAATCCAGCGCTCTATTATAAGATGTGGCCGCTACGAAAATTGATGTGGTACAGCCACCCGATGGCACGGAGGAGATTCATAGGCTGCCGACCGTGTTGGGGTATCTCTGCCATTTTGCACAATGTGTCTTCCGCACGACTAGCACTGATCGGATACGACAACACTACAATCAGCGGCACTAGTGGCAAGTTTCGCAGCAGGGCGCGATGCCATAGCATCAGGCCTACGTTCAGACATTGTTTTGCCAGTCGCAAGCCCAGCGCTACTTCGCTGTTGTTCTGACAGACCGGGTCCACTGGACCGCTACCCCACAATATATATATCTCCACGCTAATGCACCCACCAATGCACCACCCTCTACCTATAAGCGATCTTCTTCCTGCCCTATTTCTGATTAATTATGGGACGATATTATACGTCGATACCGACAGCGGCAGTCTTAGCCGCTCCGAGATTGTGTCTAGGCTGCACGATATATCTCTAAGGTCACACCGTGGATAAAGCGGACTGGGATCTATATCCATCTCTAGGGACTTAAGCTAAGCGAACTCGGTCTTAGCTACCGACTGCCTAAGCAGGAGCAGGAAGAATCACTCTTCATGATCTATAAGAGTGTCGGACGAGTCCTCGAGAATGCTATAACCGTGCTTGTGTATAACTAGGACCTAGAAACCCAGCATCTTAGTCGCCGAAACGCACGGCTCCTCAATACCTTTACTCGGGGAGAAGCCTCTTAGGACCCTATCTCGGACCTACAAAACGAGCAGTCCCGCCGGAGATATATCGATACCTAGCAGCGACTGATCTGCTACTAGGACCGAGTGGTCGAGCAGGGCTAGCTCCGAGATACCCTATTCCAACCGAGCGACCGATAGCGTGAGGCATAGCTTGAGGTAACTTAGGTTACGAGCGAGCTTATTAGCCTTGTCGACCTGGACCGAGAAGGCATACACAAAGCGACTCTTCGCGACCGACTCGACCGGGCAGTCCTAGAGTTTAGCCTTGCTATTATTCAACACTCCGTTCCCCGTCGTAAGTTTGATTCCGTCCTTGTTTCATACGCTGCCGTGCGGTATTGGAGTCCCACCCAAGGTGTATAGCTGATGGTCGGGAATTATACCTCTATTCTATCCTAGTTAATCTACGACTGTCAAATGGTGGTGCTTGCGTATATGTTGGCGGAGACCACGGGTGGCCGAGAGGCCGAAATTGGTGCGACGATCGTGGATATCCGGAACGAGTAGTTATTAAATGACATCGAGGGCCCCGTGGCTAAATTGCTCGAGAATCGGCTACTGGGGTTTAGCATTAGCTAGACCGAGGTTCCATCGGCACAGATTCGCTGGTATGCGGACGGCGAGACGCTGGTGTGGTCGGACGTCATCTTTCATCTATCCAACTTACATCAAATTATCTTCCAGAAGATTTCTGAGGCTCGGCGAATTTTTGACGAAGAGCTATGCCTTAGTGGCCGTTCTAGCCCTACGTCTGAGATCCCTATGCTAGATCTACGGCTCCTCGTCGACAACTAGGATGCCACCGCGCCCAGCTAGTCATTCCTGACGGATTCGCGGAACGTATACCACCTAGCCCCGTTACAGGACTGGTTGATCTCCTGGGTGGGTAGGACCCCCGTTCTCTTCCGTACGTTCTAGTCGCGGACCGCCGAGGGGCATTGGGTGGTGTCCGCGGATGCCACGCAGTAGTATAAGGATAGGGTGTAGCGTTTCCTTCGAGCACTCCTCGTCCCCTTCTTTATTAGGTTGGGTCAGCAGGGGCGTCGCACGGAGTTCATTAGGCTCTAGTGGAGGAACACGACTTTAACCACTCGAGACTTATTTCTCCACGATAGGCAAATACTATTCATCCTTAGCTACTATAAGTCCTAGAACCAGAACAATGCGTCTCGATGGCCGGTTCGCTTCCTACTCCCTAAGGTTATATAGCTCGTGACCTAGTACCTCGCTATAATCTAACCATTCCGCGATTTTCTCCAACACGAGACGCAGTAGCCCGGCGCTGTATCTAATTACCTCTAGTCCTATAGCCTTGATCTATGGGCTGCGGATGCCATAACTTGGATTATGGTGAATACTAGTAAGCTAGTTCTTGGGAAGCATATCTATATCTAGGCCTGGCGCTAGATCACGGTGGGTATCGCCCGACGGAAATTCGCTGCTGTCGAAGCTAATCTCCTTATTGAAGAGAGGGACGATAGCGAGGAGATAGATCCCGCGCGAGGGAGTATGTCGGACGCACTACACTAGTAGGTAAGCCACACCCCATCTACCGATAATTAGGTATATAGAGGGACGGTGAACTTCCGTGGTAGGTTAACTGATGCTAGGCTCCAGGAGTTTCGATATATTAGTTGGCTCTAGCATTAGTTCGTGCGTGATCCTCTCCAGTTTCAACCAGCCCTCGCTATGCCATATAAGTGTGCCGAGCCGGCCACGCTATAGGAATGGGAGGAAGGAGATCATTCCCTACGTGATAGCCCGCGCAGCACTTCTAATAGGACCCCTAGTAGTCGAAGCGTAGTCGGCAGCGCGGAAACCCAATCGTTCGCTACCCTATTTAAGCGACGGCGCGATAATGACGAGACCCCTATCGCACGGCGTATTGCCCAACGCGAGGCCCCCGCTAGGACCTAGCGGCGATGGCGAATGGACTAGGCGTATGAGGTTCTCCAGCGGATGTATAGCGTGCACGCTCAGTATCGGTCCCGCGGGCAGTAACAAGCGATGGAACATATCTTGGCGGGCGCGGGCTAAGTCCTGGCTATCCTACGAACTAGTGAGGGTAAGAGTCTATTATACCTTCTCCCTTGTTAGCTACCTAGGGCTAGCACCACGGTGCTAATCCTTCCACTAGTGGTGCTCAAGGCCGAGATACAACGCTAATGCGCAAAGGCCGGGGTTGATGCCTATATCTAGGACGCGCAGTCGAACCCAGATTATTTACACTCCTGCCCACTTATTGTCGTTGGGGTTGAACAGGCAGTGCGGCCTCGGTTCCGGCAGTTTCTGAATCGCCTTTACGTTACGAATGAACTCGACTGGGTTGTGTTCGACGAGTGTTATCTCGCGGTGACCGCGGTGTTCTACCGGCCCGCGATAGCCTTACTCCCGCTGTTGCGGGATTTGGCTTGTCAGATGGTTTTCCTGATAGGCACCCTATCGCCGTCGATGGTGTTTGGGTTCGAACAGGCGATGTTGCTACGTGGTGCGCGGATAATCCGTAGCCCTACAACGCGTCGGGATATCACCTTTTGGGTTAGCTACTGCCCCCCTAATTCTAATCTTATTCGGGACTTTGCACTTCCTGGAATCCGCGAAGCGATTGCAAGCCTTGATCGTGTTGGGCGTGCTATTATCTACTGCTGCGTGAGAGGCGTCGCGGATAAGGTTGGGCGGGCCCTCGATGCGCCGGTCTACCACTCGCAGTCTAGTAGTGTTGAGGAGAAGGCCTAGGTCCTCCAACGCTAGCGGGATAGCGAGCCGCCGTATATTATGGCGACATTAGCGTTTAGTATAGGGATTGATCACGCGGCGGTTCGGTGGGTGGTTCATATCGGGGTCCCCTAGGACTTAATCAGCTTTACACAGGAGGTCGGGCGGCTTGGACGAGATGGGGCTAGGGGGCGATCGATCATTCTAGTACCTCGTCAATAGAAGAGTGCTCTCACCGACGGCAGTGGACGACCGCTAAGTGCCGCGGAAGCCGCCATATAGAGATATATCAGTGCTACTAGTTGTCGGGTGTTTGAGCTATCTATCTTCCTAGACGAGCGCGGTAGTCCCTACACCCCCACGGCGCTTTTATGTGACTGCTACTAGAATTCCGGTATAGTCTATTTACCGGAACCTTCTGATATCGCGGATGCCTCGGTTCGAGGGCCGGATGTAGCGGAGGTTGAATCCGACGACTCGAGCGATTTACGGGCTAGGGGCGAGCTACTTCGATCTTAGATATAGAGGCGGGCGCGTGGGTTAGCGGATTACATCGCGTCCCTAGAGGAGTGGCGCGGGATATATATGATCTGCTACTATCTCCCTCGTCCAGCATCCGGGCAGGCTTTGCACGCGCGCCATCAACTAGCGAATTGCCCGCACCCATAGCGGTATAACTACTTCGATGCGAAGAAAAAAGCGCAGTCCCGGGGTTAAGCGCGGGGGGGATGGTTCGAGCCGTATAGTAGTTGCTACCGATGCTTTAATTCGCAAGTGGTGTGTGATCCAAAGGGACTAGATAGGTGTCGGTTTAGGGACCTTATAATGCCGCTCTGCTAGGCTATCTTCCAGAAGAAAGGGTGGGTCCGGGAATTTCTCGGCGGACTAGGCGGTGGTCACGTCGTAGGCGACGAGGCGGCGTATATATTATGGCTAGGGTTGGAATAGTCGGTGTTTAGTGAACGTGCATCTAACGCGATCGTTGTGGGCGATTCGGTCCTGCGGTAGATAGGAAAGGTGCCGATATAAATTTGATAGGTCGGCAAGGAGATATATATCTATTAGCATCGAGGGAAATAAAAGATTTTCATAGGTTTCTTTCTCTAGGTTCGGGGTAAATACAAGGTCGTGCGGAAAGTCTATATCTATATCTAAACGAAGAACGTTCCCGCACTGGTAGGCACTTTTTATACTATATATAGTCATAGTTGCTTGGCTCGCTCCTTCTCCCCCCGACGTATATTTAAGGGCGAGCTACTAGTCAAATGCATCATCGGTCTCCCGAGCATCAGACCCCAATAGCAATATATCCTAGAGAACGAAACGCTAGGCGACACGGATCATCTTCGCTACAACATCCGCATACGAGTTAAGAGTCAAGCGATATATCTCTACACTACGCAAGGGCCGCTAACGGGCACACTAGGGTATATTAGAAGGCTAAGCGGTAGCACTATTACCGCGGATAGGTATTAGATGAATGGATCCTAGACGAAGGTAGGGTTTAGTCGTGGAGGGAGTAATTACGTGATATAAGGTTGCTCTCTTTCCGATAGAGATTTTGGGTTACATTTATCTAGAGGGTTTTTGGGCCGAGCTAGGGGTTTCTAAAGTGTATAGGGTATTAGGGCTCGCTCGTTTTGGCGCTAGATAGGCATTAAGCTATTCTAACTAAGTGGCGTATCGTATTAGGGTGGGCGTTAGGGTTTTTATACTCGAACCGTTTAGGGTTACTCGCGCTACCACCTTAGTCGCTAGTAGTTTTAGTCTACAATTATTAGCCCTTCTCTACGAAGGGATGTAATGATTTCGGATTTACTATTATTTACTATCAGAGGGAGGGGATAGGGTTTCTTCGGTCGGGCTTATACTAGAGAGTGAATATATTTCGCAAACGTAGTGTTTTAGATCTTAGAGTAAGTACCGACGCGCTAGCCCCCGCAATCCCCCCGGCGCCCCCCGCTGACCGCTGTGTTGTATTGGAAGAAGGGTTTAGGGTTTAGGGTTTAGGGTTTAGGGTTTAGGGTTTAGGGTTTAGGGTTTGGGTTTAGGG